TCTCCCATGTATCTTTAGCTGACATTGACGGTAAAAATCTGGCTCCTTGGAAAGCAGTAGCTGAGTCCACAACGTGTAGAACAGGGCGTTGTGGTGTTCCTAGGTGCATCACATCAACGATGATTTCGTAGTTGAACTCTTGATCATCGTTAAGGGTGAACTTGAAGCGGCGTGGGGCTTGTGAGTGCATTTGACAGTGGTGACAGAACTTAGAGATAGTCTCTAATGTGTCTATCGAGACGTCACTGTGCCCGGCTTGCTTCAAGAGGTGATGGAGCCTAGGGACTGCTGGGTGTCCAAAGCGTCGGTGAAGTGTACGAATCTCTGTTTCCGTAAGAAACGAGATGGACTCTTCATCTTTCGTAAGGAAGAACCAGGGATGTCCCCATTTGCGTACGACTGGAATGCTTGTAGGGCGATTAGTACAATGATTAGTACAATTGATGGTATCTGTGATGTTGTTGAAATAGATACCAAGTCGATCCATATCAGCAAGGCAGAGCAAAAGGAGTTGGGGTTTGAAGGACGTGGAACGTGATCCTTCCGAGGGTGTTTTTAGGGCAACTGTGCCAAGGAGTTAATCGTGTCGCCGTTGCCAAATTTGATGGAGGCCTGGCCGGATGTAGAGCTGTCGAGAGCTACAGAAGGATCTTCTCGTTGTAGGGCGATGTACTGAGAATATCCTGCTGTGGAGAATGTTGCTGCACCTGTGTCGATCATGATACCTTGGAATCTATCCCTGAATAGCGATCTTCAATAATAAATTGCGAGGCTGGAACAACGGTTTGATCCGTCTGATAGACGTCTTCTCCTGTGATCAAATGATTGAATGCCTGTTGACAGAGCATTTGGCTTGCTTGCCATTGTTCCGGGTGATCGTTGGTGCTATTGTCATGTTCTTCCCATGTATCTTCAGTGTCATCAAAGCTGCTCATCTCATGACCTTCGTAGTCTAGAATATAGCCTCCGATGTCCGTGAGTTGTACACCTATGAAGTGACATTGAGTGATATGTTGGTCCTTGGCCTTTGTCGTTCATCCGTAGAGTGTTTAGTTGACCAACAGCCTTCTTGTCCACAAACAAAACACTTCTTCGTCCAGTTTCGGTTACTGTAGCTATGATTGTAGTTACTACGGCTTTGAGGCCGGTAGTTTCCACGGTTGTAGCTTTGTCTGTATCCGCGGCTGGGTCGTTGACCTGAATATCCGTATCTACCTCGAGAGCGGTTGTTATTGTATCGACGGTCGAGGTAGTACTGATGGTGTGGATCGTTATGATCAAATGATCCAGCAAAGTCAAGGGAAATTGAGAAGTTGTTATGAGGGCAAGATGGGTTTCAACGGATGCACGAAGATCTGCAAGAAGGTGCTCGACGTTATCGGCGGGTTTGAAAGAGCGTATTGGAGTTCGGGTACTCCACGGCATGCTTTCATAAGCGTTGTACGCAGTAGAAGGTCTCCTGCGTACTCCCTGCCAAGGGCTCGTTGGCAGAGCTGAAGCTTATCAAAGAGGATTTGAAGCACTTCGTGGGGGGTCTTCGAAGCATCTTGGGCACGGATGGAGTTGAAGGTTATTGTTGTCCAGTCAGTATGGTAGTGGACATGGTTGACTTCCGTGTCAAAGTGTTGTTTGAAGATATCATACGCTTGTCGGAACGTCGTAGCCCATGTGATCTTATCAAGATAGAATCTTTGGGCTCTTCCATCAAGGATCCGGGGAAAGAGTGCGTGAAATTGTGATGGTTTCACTGGGATATGAGAGCAGTTGCTTAAGAAGAGGCGGAGCTTATCATCAAGGAGATCGTACGGCTCTCCTGTGTAGTTCCGATCTTTGTTCCAGGTCTTCATAAACTTCTGCTGGATGTCGCTATCGACGATAGCGTTCGGGATGTTATCCGGGGGGAGTTTCATGTATTCTCCAAAGGTTGCAGGGCCGGATAAGTGTTCGGGGATGGAGTTGGTGACGGGTTGGACGAGATCGGGGTTCTGGAAGCGGTAGGAAGTCGGATGAATAGTAAGAGAGGTCGGAGCAGGTTTATCTTGGATAGTCGGAGCAGGAGTAGGTGCGTTAGGAGGGCTCGTTAGGGTCTTAATAGGTTGTGGTTCGTTAAGACCTTGATGAGGTGCTGCTAAGGGCGTAACTGATGGTGAAGGAGGTTGAGACGGATGGGGATTAGTGGAAGCATTTGATCCTAGTAATGCTGTCTGCCTCCTGAAGGCAGCAGTCCTCTCATCAAACACCATCTCCGTAAACTCCTGCTCTGGCCAGGTTTGTGGGTTCTCGATAGTTTGTAATATGAGAAATTGTGTTGCGAATTTCCCCTTTGTGAACCTGTGTAGATACCTCTTTTCCTTAGTAGTTTCCTGAGGGCTCTCTTGTATTCATTCGGGGCGCGGTCCCATGTGTCTTCGGTCCATTCTTCAAAATGCTGTTGGAAGTAACCAAGGAGGTCGTATCCTTGATCACTGCCAGATTGAACGATGAATATGAACTTTGCCACATATGTCGTTACTGCGATCTTGTCCTTTTCGTCGTGTGTGATATCGTTGTCCCAAAGGTCGATATTAATTTGTCGGAATGCGGATGCTTGGATGTCTAGTGCCTGCATCTGGTCGCATATTTCTTCGAGCTGGGCTTCTGGGGACATAGCTCGGGCGGTCGGGGCTATCGTGATCAAATGAATGAGACGATGTGGGGTTCGTATTGGTCTCTTCGTATACGAGTTGTCGCTAATAGGAGGTCGAGCGTCGCGTACTAAGTAGGTCGTTCGCGGCCAGACTGAACTGACGGGGATCTTGCTACTTAACGTCAAGGGTCGAACGTTCTTACTAGTTGTTTGCGATGTGGTCGCCTGTCGATTCCGGTGCTCACGGCTAGGCAAACTAGCGGGCGATCGTAATCAACAGTTGGAAGGACTCTCGCGCGGCTGGGCAAACCAGCGGGAGATTCCTTGTTCTTAGCACAAATAACCTTCTTCTGAGCGCTACTCAGGGCCACAGTAAAGTGACGCGGACTATAGCACCTTCGAAGGTTGAGGAATTTGTCTCTTCTACTTAGCTGTCTGTGACGGGCGTGGGCCGGTCACTGATCAGTGTGGGTAGGCACCTGCGGCAGCTGCTGCAATGAGACGGTACTAGGGTTAACCTGTGATGTTGTATTCGTCTTGATTCTCTATCTAAGGAGGCAGAGGCCAGCGTGGAGAAAGGGGGCACGCTGCCCTCAGCCGCACACGTGACCGTACGGGTCACGTGCCAACCATGGTTGGTCACACCACTAGATAGATACATTCCTACAGAAAGGGTATTTCCATATTTAGATATGGAAAACCACCCTGTGTCCCACTAATAAGGTCAGAATCATCTATATAGGTGCCAGCCTCGGAGTGATCCACGATGGAGGACATGATCCTCTAGGGAATGCACTAGACCATAAGAGTGGCGATCATGGGAATCTGGCGGAGAGCAGGATTGGTGGGATAAACCGGATTGTTTGTGGCAGCTCCGGTCAGATCATTCTGTGGTGGACAACTTCCTCTTTTTGACCACCCTAGGAAGTCCTAGTGATTTGGTTTGGACCACAGAATCCAATTAATTTGAGTTTGCCGGCCAATGATCGGTCATATCCCTTTAGCGTCGGCGCACAACGAAACTTTACATCGTCGCGAATTGTTCCGTACGTGCTCGCTTCGCGCTCGTCTCGCGCTCATCTCGTGCCAGCCAAGCGACACGCCCCAGTGTTCCTAACGTCGGCATCCAATTTGCGTACGCAACGGCGGTGGAGATCCTCAGTTGAGCCTCGACGAGAAGAGCATCAGAAGGCTTGCGGTGCATCGACCTATGAAGCTAATGATTGGTGTAGCTGGGGCCGTAGAAGTGTGGCCGAGGCTCAATCTGCGCTTTGGACTGTAACCCGACTGACAAACTTGAACAAATTGGCAGGGCAACATCCGGTATAATGGGTTTTCTCGACCAGAAACGATAACTTAGCAACATGTTTTGATAGCATAATAAAGTCAATAACAGGCGGAAGCTCTTAGCAAAGCTTGTGTTTAGACGCTTACCAGTATGCTTAATTACAACGGAAAGAAGCGAATGTATTGGCATCTCAACTGCTTCGCATAAATATTGACGAGCCAGCCTGCCTCCTACCCTAGAGATGACAGATAGGTTAGAGGCTACCTGGCACCCCGCCTTTATACGGTGACATAACGGGTATATCATAACTCCCGACCGGGGTTCCGCCACTTGGATAATACGCACTTCGTCTTACAGGTTATACATGTTTTTCGTTGAAATCAATCCGAAACCCTATTTCAAGGTAGTAAAATCCGGGTTGCTGGTAATCATGGGGCGCACTAATAGTGCAACTATTAGTCTGGACCCTTGCACTGAACTACCCGTTCAGTTTGGGCAAGCTACACTGAACCACCAGTGTGGTGTGAGAAACGCACACTACACTAATAGTGCGGCACTAATAGTGTAAACCACAGTGTGCACTAATAGTCCTCTTAATGGTCCACACTATTAGGAGCGCTGTCTGAGATCTTGAGCTCGGGGTGACCATAAGGGGCATACAGCTAAGGGCCCCGACGGGCTAGACAGAAAGGCAGCCTGCAGAGAGTTCTGAGGCTGCAGAAAGCTATTAGGAGACCGCATTAGGCAGCCACACAGGCTGTAGAGAGACTGCATATACGGGAGAAGCTGAAAGAGCCCTCGGCGACTAGGGAAAGCCAGTATGCAAAGGGGGGGGCTGGGGAAAGGAGCCCAGCCTCCTAGATATTGTACCTATACAACTGAAAAAGGGATATAAATAGGGAGCCTAGAAGAGGGCATTGCAAGAGGCAGAGACGACGGAACACAAAAAAAAACACACCTATTATTAAAACAATCAATGCTCACTTGCATTCTCTCTTCGTGAGACGACGCGCTCGTGTCTGAACCTGGCGTCCACGCGTTCATGAGTAAGGGGGAAAGTGACTCAATCATCGTGCCGCAATCGGGATGTTTGTAACGCCTCTCATATTATCCCACTCTTCTCTTAGATGGGCGACTATCTCGATTCTTTGCCTTCTGCAGGCCCCAAGGCAGTCGAGAATGGGAAACATTTCCATGGCAGCACTTTCGCGGCTACACCAAATCCCAACGCGCCGGCAAGCTCAAGTCGTGGATTTGGCGCTTTGGGTTTGACATTGAGCATCAAGACAACGGGGACAATAGGCTGTGGGTATGCGGGACCTGTTCGGTCAAGAAATCGCCCCAAGGACCCCCAAGCTTTGCAGCGAAGGGAACGACAAATATCGAGCGCCATCTGCACGATGCGCACCGCATTTCTGGGCCGTTGGGGAAACGTCTGCCGAAAGGTACGACAACAAAGAAGCGCTCTATCGCACAGTTCTTCGAGCTCGACGCAAACGACGGCAAAGAGCAGGCCTTGATCAACACGCTCAAGAATCACTTTGATAAGAATGTGTTCCAATCACTCCTACTTGCTTGGATCACCGAGTCAAATGTTGCCTTTCGCGCCATCGAAGCCCCTCGATTCCGTTCTCTGCTCGACTATCTCAATCCTTCAATTGGCCTGACCCAGTCACACATGACTCACACGACCATTCGGTCCAGGCTTTTCGAAGAGTATCACCAATACAAGGGCGTTGTGGTGAAGGAATTGAAAGAGTGCCCCGGCCGTATCCATCTTGCGTTTGACGGCTGGAGATCGCCCAATCGGCACGCTGTGTACGGGATTGCTGCGTTCTACCTGTCCAAGGAAAAGCGCCCACAAAAAATACTTCTCGGAATGCCTGAGTTGCGGCAGTCCCATACTGGAGAGAACATCGCTTCTCAGGTGGCAGAAGTCATCACCTCGTTCGAGATACAGGATAAGATTGGCTACTTCACGTTGGATAACGCGGAGAACAACGACACCGCGATGAGGGCCCTGGGTGACCAATTCAGTTTCGATGGGAGGCAAAGAAGGGTCCGCTGCTTTGGACATATTATCAACCTTGTAGCGAAAGCACTGCTCTTTGGAAAAGACGACGAGGTCTTCGATTCAGAAGATCGTACCAATATTCTCGACCTGGCTCAGCACAACCTTTGGCGAAAAAAAGGTCCGATCGGCAAACTCCACAATCTCGTCCATTGATTCATCGATCCGACAGGCTGACCTATCTACTACGGAGCCTGCAGGAGAAGAAGGATGGTACGAAAAGGCCGGTCGACGTTGTGACCGATAACATGACGCGCTGGCTGTCTCATTACAAAATGATGGATCGGGCTCTTCTCCTTCGCGAATTTCTCGACGACCTTGTCGCGATCGAACGGTTCGAGCACAGCAGAGGCAGGTCGAGAAGTAGAGCCAGGCCTGCGTGTATACGAGATGAGGATTTACTGACGGAGAACGATTGGATGGTGATCAGCAATTTCCGAGATGTCCTGAGACATTTTGCCAATGCTCTCAAGGCACTTGAAGGAGACGCGCAAGTCCGTGTCCGCAAAGACGGGAAGCTCATAGCCTATGGAACCGCATGGGATATCATCCAGGCGTTCGAATATCTTCTGGAGAAGCTTGAAGAAGCCAAAACGATGGCCAGAGACCTGCCGGATTCTGGCCACTTCGCAATCAACGTCGAATTGGGTTGGAAAAATTGGATAAGTACTACGCGAAACTCATCGAGTGTCCGATATACTACTCGGCCATCGCTCTGCATCCTGCCTTGCGGTTACAGTGGTTCGAAGAAGCTTGGGCTCATCGACCCGAATGGGTCACGGAAGCCCGGCGGATCGTCCGAGCCATCTGGGAAAGTGACTATAAGTCGCTGAACGTCGAGGAGGAGGGTCCAGCCACTGCTGTGGAGAATTTCCAGCCACCCGACGATCTGGACGATTTCAAAAGTTTCGAATGAGGCACAGGGTGCAATCGAGCCATATCACGAATGGTGATTACCGGCTGCCGACGCGCCCTATCGCCGACGAGTTGGATCGTTGGACCGTCGATATCGGGGCAGACGACGGGAGATCAATGATCCATTTCAGTACTGGAAACTCAAAGAGGCGACATATCCGCGGCTGGCGCGGATGGCTTTCGATATGCTATCCGTCCCGCCCATGTCTGCCGAGTGCGAAAGGGCGTTTTCATTTGCTGGACTGATGGTTACCCGGCTGCGCAGGAGACTTGAGGTGAAGACCATCAGCGCCGCACAGTCCATCCGGTCTTGGCTGAACGCGGGATTAATACACAACTACCAGGAGTCGTTGATCCATCGGTAGACGACAACGCCTTCGTGGAGGCCGCAGAGGATAATTCTGAGAAAGGGGAGGACGGGCCAGAGGACTTTGTCGTTATCTCCGAATAGCATATTGACAACCGTCAACGCCAGCGATCCACGCAATCCACGCAATTGAGATTCAGATTGCTCAACGCAATCGAGGATTTGATGATGTAAGCTGGCAATCCACGCAATCCCGTCACTCGGTTGCGTTGATTGCGTGGTTTGCCACCCTGTCTCCTCATCTTTCGAGCCCACGATTGAGTGCCAATACCCAAAGAACTCAGCCCACCTCTCATCACTATTAGAGTCCTCATCGTCACGGTCGAAAGCTGGTTTGCAATAGCTAAGCACCGCCTTATTCGCATGCCAGATGCAAAGCAGAGACTTGGACGCAGGAAAGCACCGGGAAATTGCGTTTATGCAGGCGAGGCAGCGATCTGTCAGGATAACCGATGGCTGGCGAATGTCATATAACTCGTATATCGATTGGAGTTGGTCCAGTGCCCAGATATAGTCATTTTCGTCTTCACCACTGAGGAAGGCAAAGGCAATACAGAATGACCGCTGACAGGCATCAACGCCGATCATATCGAGCAGTGGCATCTTATATTTGTTCGTCTTGTATGTGCAGTCTAGCAGTAGTAATTCTGGGTATGCGTTGAGGTATCCTAGAGACGCTGGGTGTGCGAATAAGACTGCTGTGACTCGGCCATCATGATCAAGCTGTATGCGGCTCTGAACCCCTCGTTGTCAAGCTCATTGGCAAGGGCATGCATTGTGCTCTGGCCAGCAAGGAGCTCTCGTCTGCGCTGTGCGATACAGTTATATATGTCTTGCTGTGTCGCTCCTTGGGCAGTCTGAGAGCTCTGGCGCATATATGTCCGGATATCCTTTGGTGCTATGCCAGCGCTTGAGAGGTTCCCAATAGCTGACTGGTCAGTTGAGGAGAGGCACGATGAGCTGGATGTGCTGTAATATGCAGACTGGGCTCATGGTTGTGGACCGACTTCTCCTCGCCTGGGCGATGCCTGACATACCAGTACGACTTATCAAGGCTCTCTTTCGCATTGATGGAAAACTGGCATCCAGTGATACGGGAGCTTGTAGACCGTTGCCGATCAGCTGGCTTCTGGTCCTTGCTTGTATGAGCCCCAAGTCTACCTCCACGATCGCAGGCAAATATGACTGTGCGTCTTCCGGACCGCGGGTCTCTCGTGGACTTGCCTGTGGTGAAGGCATAGCCTCTTGGAGCCGCCCACGCATTAATTGAGGCAAGAAGAGACTCTCGCGAGTCGAATTGGCCCTCAGGAGGAAGGCAATCGTCAGGGAATTCAGTAAGCCCCATATTGGAATTATCTTGAAGAGCTAGCTGTAGTGCACGACAGTGAGCAGCTCTTTATACACAAAGGAAAGGAAACTCCTGCTTTGTGGTGCAGAACCCTTGTAACCGAGGCCGCCTGCGAGGTTTAATGCAGCCTGCGTTTGAGCTTTGGCCTCAATGGGGTCCAAGCACCACGCATGCAGGCGCTCGACCTTAATATGCGGATTATAGCATCGCTTCCGCGGACAACTACTCTGAGCGCAGATGGTATGCTATAAGATACCTGGGTTGCCGCCGAATACGCCGTCACAGGAGTAAGCAAAGCTGTAAATTTATGTGCTACGAAGGCTGTGCTTGGAGAGGATTGCAAGCAAGCCAGCAATTCCCCTTATTAATCGTCATCCAAAAGGCTCCTGTTCGCTCCTGTGTATATGATCAAATGGCTCAGACTCTCAGTTAGAGAAAACCCCATCCCCGTTGTTGCTGACCCATAAGAGAGCCAAATTGTCACATTGAGAGTTGCTGCAAGCAGGCGAATGTATGACCAGTCAATTCAATGCTTCCTGGGCAGTCACAACCTGGCCAGCACGCCGGGCAGCGTCAGCAGCCCGATCAGCCATAGAGCCATCCGTGCGACGCCGGATATCATTGAGATCAAAGGACGCATCAAACATGATGCCATTCAACGTCTTGGCGCGCGAGACGGCGACGTAGGTGAGGCCAGACTGGAAATCGCGATGGGATATATCGGCAACAACCCATTCAAGCGTAGCACCCTGTGCCTTGTGCACAGTGATGCTATATGCAATTGTCAAGGAAACTGAGTGCGAGAGCAGGGCATACTACCCTTGATGAAGTCCCGCCAGGAGCGAAAGATAGGCTGGACGTTGGCTAGCTCAGGGTCGTCGAAATAAGGGGGCCGGTATAGCGATCGAAGCGGACCATAATGACAAAGGGTGATGAGCTTGAGGATCCTGTACGTGATCCTCATAGGCAAAGTCATATATGGTCCCCAGTGCACCATTAACAAGGCTAACATCAGTCCAGACGTTCTCAGTCAACATAACTCTTGCCCCAATGCAAATGGGTAACTGGTTATGTAAGTTGCCAGCAGTCATAGAGTCAGCTTCGGCGGCTTTTGGACCGACATTTGTTGCCCGAACCTGTATGCAAGGCACAGCTAGGCGTTCCATATGATCCCTGTTGAACTCGCGGACCTGGGCATTCGTTGTGTAGATGCGTACTGCCCCGTCAAAGCACGTAACCTCGGCTAAGGTCAGATTGGCCTGGACGCGGGTGCAGAGCAGCTCCCAGTCTAGGACAGTGGGAGCATTTATACGTAGGCTCTGAAGAGCAGTGCGAAAAGGAGCCTGCTCTTCGCCCTGCTGACGCAACACTTGTCGTAACACAACTGTCTTGTCGAATGCCAGGTAGGCATTGCGGCCATTGATATCAGGTAAAGCCGTGAGCATAGACGTAGTAAAGAGCGGCTTCTCCATAACAGGTGGAAGCTGGTAGAAGTCGCCGAGCGACAAAACGCTACGGCCGCCGAAAAAGGTGTCTTGATATTCGGGAAATATTTGTCGGAGGCGGCTATCAATGTAGCCAAAAGTACGCAAGCCAATCATTGACTTCTCGTCGATAATGAGGTAGCAGAGGTTGCGTAGCTTTGACTGTAGGTTGGCAATGTCTGTAGGGCCTAGCAACGGCAGCTCCGTTGAAGACTTGGTAAGAGGGAGTCGTAGAAGGGAGTGTAGTGTAACGCCGCCAATTGCATTAGCAGCCACACCGGTAGGGGCAGCCCGAGCGAAGCAGGTTGGAGATAGCTGCCCAAGACGTGCACAGAGCGCTCTGATCATAAAGGATTTACCTGTGCCGCCTTCTCCGTCTACCTGCACAAGGAGCGGTGCCGGGTTTGGCTGTTGAGGGTCGAGAGCCTTCTCAAGATGTCGAGTAAATAGGTCAAACACAGTGCGCTGCTCGACGTTAAGCTGATCAAAGAGGCCATCAGGGACATCATCCTGGTTGTTGCCTAGGGGGTGTAAAGCTTTAAGCTCCTTCCAATAGTCATGCCCTAGAATGGCTAAACCAGGATACTTGCCAATGTAGGGCTGCCAATCGTGAGCAAGGTCAAAATCGCGATTCCCCAGTAACTCAATGTCATCTTCATCTGGACCACGATTTGGAAGCACTGCAGCAAGCTCTTCCCAATCCTCAGCCGCAACATCTTCCTCGTTACGCGGTTCTTCCTGGAATTCCTCTTCGACTGGAGGAGGGAGGTCCCCATAGTAGTCGTCTGGATGAACGTCGTGGACAGCAGAGCAATGGTCGTATGCCCCAGAGAAGGTGTCGAAAAGGGTGCCATCTACCTCTTTGAGTTCCTGAGGGTCGCGATGAGGATGGTGGAGGGTCAACTTGACACGACAAAAGTCCTCGTACTGCTCGTTACCGCGGAGGGCCTTATACCGAGGGAAATAGCTCAACACACGGTCAGGGGCTCGGCTGTAGTAGTGCCATGCTGCCGGGCGTGTAAAGTCGACTTTGGTGAGAAGCTCAAAGTAGGTCAACTGCGCCCATTGATCGTTGCGAGAGAGGTATTTCTGGTATATATTCCTTGAGGCCCGAATACCATCAGCAGCTTCATCTACAATAGCTGCCTGCCATTGCTCTTGAGGAGGGCGGCAGTCAACCGATCGTACAGTCCTCGTGCTTTGCTGGAGTGGTAGGCTGAGCAGCAGGTGGCTAATCTCCATAGCAGACCAGTCACGCTCAGCCGTAAGCTTGTTCATGAACTTGGCGACGAAGCTGACGAGACCCTGTCGTGCATTGACTCTAGGCAAGATGGCCCTGGCGACGTCGCGGTAGCTCTCCGTCTGCTTCTCAGCTTTAGAGCAGTACTTGCCGAGATAGTTAACAACTGCATGAAAGGAGGTGCAGGGGGAAATGTCATGATTTGCAAGCCAGCCAATAGCCAAAAGGGGATTGAAGTTGTTAAGCAGAGGGTCGTTGCGTGCGCCATCATACACAAGGAATGTCGGGTTAAGGCCATGTGTGACGTGGGCCTCGGCATGGGAGGCGCGAGGGAAGTGGAATCGACATAGCTTTTCCCTTGACAGAGAGTTGTCAGGCTGTCGGCGGTGTCGCAAGCAATAGAGCTCAGAACAACGATGGCGTTGTACGCGATTAACAACCTCAGCGAGGAACTGGAAAGTAGGCGGCGGTCGGACTAGTACCAATGGATTTGCGTCGCCTTGCTGCATCACACGAAGCGGCTCTGGGTTAATGGCAGAGACATAAGGGGGCCCAGAACCGGGCAAACTCAGCTTTGCCTTCGAGAGTAGACATATCAGGCTTTGGTGTATCCCTAACCCAATAAAGGCCGTGCACATGCGTGCTGCCACGGGCCTGCCATTCGTAGCGAAACCAATAGTCGGTAATGTTGAACTTTGGCATCGATACTATCTTAAGGAAGCTAGTAAAACGGCTGTGAAAGTGATATGCTGCGATATGAGGGTTTTCAAGGAGATTCCGGAACGCAATAGCACCCTTACCACGGCCATCAGCCTCACGCCATTCAACATATGACGGCATGTGTCTCTGGAGGCTATCCCAGTGAAGGTCAGCAGCTGAGAAGGTGAGGAAGACACCAGGACAGGTAAGGCCGTGGACGATGGCCTCAAGCTGATGTCTCTGGCCGCCCCAGTAAGCTCGTGTGCCTTTCAAGCTGCTTGAGAAGCGCACAATAGAGCTCAACAGTGCGCGAGATTCTGGGGTATCTTCCTCAAAAGGCATTGCGTAGTTCATCCATGTCAACTTGCTGCTGCAGGCCAGGCCTCTTCAGAAAGAAGGAACTGCGAGAGTTAACTTGTTGGCGCATGAGTGTGTTAAAAGCAACATATCGAAAGCGTGGATGCGTAGCAAAACGGCCATCATGGTATCTCACGGCGTGTGCGATATACTCATCGTACCGAATTGTCCTCTGACGAGGCGCCACGAAGTCTGCCTGCCCAGTAGGGTAGAGGGTAGGAAAGGCGAGAGACAGCAGAGGCTGGGAACGATTGAACTCATTGAGAGGTGTAGACCGGATATTAGGCATCTCGATGTGGGCCTGGCGCAGAGGGATCTGCTCGGGCGGTACGGGTTCGTGATCCTCAAGCTGAGCCCGGAGACGCTCAAGGTCAGCCTGCGCTGCAATGAAGTTTGGGACTGCTGCTGCATCGTAGTCGTCGATGCCAGCTGCATCAGCATTCTCAACGGCCTCAGGGTCAGGGTGCTCTATAGGATATTGCTCTGCTAGCACGCCCTCGGGCACATCGACTTCCTCGGTAAGCATTTGATCAACCACATCACCGTCGTTCGGTAGCCGACTTAGGCGCTCAGCGTCAATGAAGATATCCCGATAGCCAGGGTGGTTGAGTTGAAGGTGCTCAAGCCAGACGCGAATGTGACCTTGCCTAACACGGAATTGACGTCGAAACTGCCGGACGACGTGTGGCTGGTTCGTTGAATCCCCTGGGCGTATTATGATGATGTCCAATTCGCGCGGCAGAAGAGGAAGCTGCGTATAGACGTGGCCAATATCCCGTAAGAAGTTAATGACATGACCACGATACTTATACTGCTGGCCACGGTACTGGAAAACCTGGATGTGGACATGCACCCGCGCAATGAGCATCTCCTCGACTTGGGATAGCTCTGGGAGCTCGTTGGGAACGCTGCCGAGATCCAGGTTATTTTCTTCGGAGAAGAGGAAAGGTTCGTGAGGCTGCCTTTTCCCATCGGCGTCACGACGACGGCAGGCAGAACAGACATCATTTACAAGGACCATGTTGAACCAGGACTCCTTGCATCGACTGCAGTACTCAAGAGACTCAGAGTCAAGCTTGTCGTTCCACAGATTGAGGAGGTCCTGATCACTCTGAGAAATGGCCTGTGCGTTGAGATCGCCGGCAAACGGCCCAACGATGTCCAAAGGAGGAACGTCTTCATCGGCCTCGTCGCATTGGATAGATTGTAGGCTTGCAGGAGCAGAAAGGCCAATGCGAGGAACCGGATGCAGATTCAAATCGCCTGCTGTGAAAGCAGAAGAGGCTGGAGACGACACGTTGGAAGGGCTGCTTGACATCGGATAAGAGATATGAGAATGTGTTGCTAACCGCGGGATAGAGAGAGCAGGAGACGACGGGGCCGGCTGCATAGAAAGCAACTGGGAGGTGCCTGGCGTTGCTGTTGACTTGATATGAGACATGGACCAAGACATGTTTAGGCAGCAGTTACAAGTGGTGAGTCACTGGATAGTGGCACGGACGTGCCACTATGTATATATGTATGTTGAGAGCTGTCAGACAGAATTGAATAGAAGCAAGTTCAATCGCAACAGGTTATGCACCCGGTTGCTTTTATTATCCTTCCACTGCACGATTGAACTCGGCATATGAGAACACTTTTTCGTCAAGAATCGATGGTTGACAGCAAAGACCCGGCACTATGGGCAAGAAAGACTACAAAGGAACCATCCTTGATGGAAGAGACTCCTTTGACAGCTGGAAGATGGATCTTGAAGATAACTTGTTGAGTGACGATCTTATGAGCTGCGTCACCGGTATGGCAACAGCGGAATCGTCAGATTTATCAATGCCAGGAGAGAATGCTTCTCCAGCCTAATACAGACCTGTACGACTTCGACCCGAAAAAGCTTACCTTCCGACAGGCGATGGAAGGCAGTGAGAAGGATCAATGGGTAGGAGCTATAGATGAGGAAGTTCAGAATCTCGTTCGACGACAGACATTCTCGGAGGAAATCAACGAAGTTGACGTGCACGGAGAAGAAGTAGTTGATGCCAAGCTTGTGTTTGATCACAAGAAAGACAAAGAAGGGAAGATACTACGGTATAAAGCACGTCTAGTCGCGAGAGGGTTCACACAGAAACACGGGATCAATTACGAGGAAACCTTCGCACCCACGATCCGGCTCGATGCGATGAGGATCATTCTAGCTTTAGCGGCGAAGAAAGGCTGGAAGGTATACCAGATGGATGCTGTGGCTGCGTTCCTTGCAGCAGACCTAAAGGAAAGGATCTTCATGAAAGTGCCAACTGAGCTCCAGCAATATTTCGGGAAATACGTTCAGATCCTGAAGAGTTTGTACGGATTGAAGCAAGCTGCAAGGATGTGGTATTTGCTAATATCAGAATATCTCAAGGAGATTGGTTTCTCACCGATGACAGTGGACCCGACAATATTCAGACATACAGAGTCGGGGTAATCATCGGCGTGCACGTGGATGACTTTATGATTACAGGGGGGGACGAGGATGCCATTGAACTGGTCAAGGAAAAGCTGAAGGGAAGATTTGAGATGAAAGACCTCGGAGAAGCAGAGAACATTCTCGGAATTCGGATTCAAAGGCACAAAGGAAAGCTGATGATTGGTCAATCACAATTTGCGAAGGAAATCGTGGCAGAATTTTTCTACGACGACTCAATGAAGCACGCAACCCCCATGGAACCTGGAGCTATACGGAAGCTCGTTGAGGAACCGGGACGGCCTCTGAACCATGACGAATGGTTGAAATACGTGGAATTGCTCGGAAAGCTGATTTGGCTATGCAATACGAGGTTCGACATTATATTCGCAGTTAACAGAATGGCATCTTTCACGGTAGAGGCATGCTGGAACCACTGGAAGGCTTTGCTACGAATATTGGGTTATGTCGGCAGGACTATTCACCACGGTATCACATATGGCGGAAATAATGAGCACGCTCAAGGAGTCGAAGGCAGCGATATCGACTATTATTCCATTGACCACAACATCGAAGGGCACGTCGGCTCTGCAGGCCTACAAGATGGGGAAGCGTTCTCTGACACCGACTACGCTACTGATCCAAGGGACCGGAAGAGTATCCTGGGGTTCATCTTTATGGTCTACGGAGGCGCCGTCATGACGTATAGCAAGAAGATGAAATCAGTGGCAAGATCTACGACAGAAGCAGAGTATGTTGGGATGGGGGAGGCCACAAAAGCTGCTCTCTGGGGACGTCGACTACTTGCAGAGCTGGAAGGAAAGGGGGAGCAAACAGTGCCACTACTGCTTGGAGATAATAAGGGAGCTGTACAGCTGACCCGAGGAGTATCGAACACGTCGAAAATCAAGCATGTTGATATAGCATTTCATCACGTCGTTGATGAGGTCAAGGAAGGAGAATTCAAGTCTACTGGGTTCCAGGGAGAATATGCTAGCAGATGGGATGACCAAGCCTCTGCCTAGGGATGCTTTCGAGAGGAACAGGAGGAGGATTGAATTGGACCCATACGCTATGAATAGCGTTGCAGTTGAAGTCTGACAGCTCTAGGAGTGTTGACTTGATATGAGACATGGACCAAGACATGTTTAGGCAGCAGTTACAAGTGGTGAGTCACTGGATAGTGGCACGGACGTGCCACTATGTATATATGTATGTTGAGAGCTGTCAGACAGAATTGAATAGAAGCAAGTTCAATCGCAACAGTTGCGGATGGCTCATGGCCTTGCCGTCTCTCCATACGATGACGTCGACTGATAGTAACCTGGCGGGCGTGTGCCCTTGCATGGCCTGGACTATCTTCTGGCCGAATGCCCCGACGAAAGAACCGAGGGCGATGCTGTAGTGGAGGTAAGCGTAGCGGAGGCACGCCAGGAGAAAACGAAGGACGAGGCTGCAGAGGAGGCAGAGCAGGCGAAGCCGAAGACGGTGGCTGGGGTGCGGTAGGCCTACGCGCCGTTGGACTCTGGATATCTAGGCTTGCGTGTCGCTTATGGATGCGTTGAGCCTAAGTGAAGATCAACAGACGAACGAATTGAGAGGCAAGAAGAGACACACACAGGACGATTATGAACCCGACGACAGGGGAGACATTTTCTAGTGCGCTTAGATGGGTCAATCAGGTGAATGAATTGATCGTCTTGCTTGAACTGGTTGCATTGAATGCAAAGACGATCGGGAAGAAGCTCCCCCGTAGGAGGACCCCACGTAGGAGGATGAGGAGACGGCATGTAGATCAGATCGTCTTGCTTGAACTGGTTGCATTGAATTCAAAGACGATCGGGAAGAAGCTCCCCCGTAGGAGGCCCCCGTAGGAGGACCCCACGTAGGAGGATGAGGAGACGGCATGTAGATGTCATATCAGAAGATCAATGTCAGTATAGTTCAATGAGAAGCAACAGGAAGACCAACGTCAAAGGATAGGAATCGAGGTTTTCAAGAGGAAATTAGGTAGGTAGGGCGCCCCTACGTTCTATGGCAAAGGTGCGGCGGGTAAACCTTTTAGACCAATCAGAGGCGTCTTTTACGGTGTGAATAATTTCTACTGCAGACAGTATACATAGGCTCTAACGAGGTAAGGCAACCCCCTGGGTTGCGCACAAAAGCCTTGAGGAACGAAGACACGGTCGACTACCCGGCCGGCAGCGGAGACGGACGGCGTCGAGACCGGGCTGGAGGTCCCGTCGCAAGAGGGAGAGGCCGGCGCCGGCAACGACGCCGTGGAAGGAGACGACGGGAGGGGCCGAGGGGAAGTGGCCGTCGGGAGGCCAAGGAGCGCGGGAGGACGCCACAAGGAGAAGTCAGCGACGCGGCAGGGGAGGAGACACATACAGGGCGGGGGGCATGGATGGTAGCCATGGTCGCGGACGACGAGCGTGGGAATTGTAGACGACGGTATCGCCCGGGCCGGCGTGGAGACCGTCGCGGCACTCGAACCCCCCAAGGGAGGGCATGGGAGTGGACGTGGCTGTTAACGAAGAACCGATGCTCGGACCGGTCGGGGTCGACGACCGGCTGGCCGTAAATCGAGAGGTTTACCTAGGCTAAAGAAGAGAGACAGCCGGGTCGGCGGCATCCGGCCCGAGCGGAGGGCGCGTACTCGGCCGGGAGCAGCTACGAGGGGACGGGCAGGAAGACACGGGCGATAGCCTTCGGCGTTAAGGTTCTTGATGCGGTGCTCGTCTTAGTGGGCGAACCTCGAGGGGCAGTCGGGCTGGGCGAAGAACATCATAGACATGTCACCGTCGACGCTCTTGCCAGTACTAAGGGGCCTCTTCAGATGCGGCGGAGAGGCGGCCGAAGACGGGGACGAAGACATGGCGAGGTTGTATAGCGTAAGAGCGACGCTGCCGTTTTGAATCGTTTAAGCGGGGCAGAATAGGAGCAGGAACTCTTCCTATTTTTGTATCGTTGGAAGAAACCGGCGGGAAGTGAAGGGCCAGGGCCGCCTTACAGAACACGAGCATAGATATTAACGGAAACACGGGAAAATTTTTAGCGGTTAGGAGAACATGGAAAGAGCGTTGTCTAGAGAATGCTATGAGAAGCGAGGGGAAAAGGGCAAAAAGGCGGTCTGCTTAGGGATAGAGGGTTTTTAAGACAACCGACATACGGGAAGCCATATTGTCACAGAATAGGGCAGCTTCATTGGCGACACGTTTAAGACATGGGGTTAAAAGCCAGTATGCAAGCATCTAACCTCGAACCAAGGCGCTTAGCGACATAGCTCCAGATAACAAGGAGAGCGTAGAATGTAAAGCACGAGTAAGAGGAAGGTGCCGTAGCGACTTACATGTAAAGACCGGCCTAGGCCGTTGCATGCGATAGCAGCAGGCAGTTCCGGTAGGCTTAATGGAAAGTCGGCGCCGGTATAATGTGAAGAGCAGCAGCATGCTTATAGACGTACTACGGAGCTCTATAGAGTACATAGGTCATTGTAAATGTAAAGTGTCCGTTACGCATAAGCTGCATGCCGAGTAGCAACATAAGCGCAAGACGAGCAGCCCAGGAAAGGACGTATACGTCGACGTCCGACTCACGAGGCTCCACGTCAGGGCATAGCAGCACGAGGTAGATGAGAGGTTTATAAAGGTAGTGGCAGCCAGTATCGCGATGGAGTCAGCTGCTGGAGGGGACCGCGCGGAGCAGGGGGCGCGAGCCCGGCGCAGGAAGCCCACGGACCGCGTGGCGCCTTGGAGACGCCGGTCGAGGACGGTCCGGGCGGGGACGCTTGGAGACCGATAGGTGCGACTGCCAACGGCGGCGACATCGCCCAGCCTAGGCAGGGCGAAGCGGACATGGGAATAGGGTGGAACGGCCACACCACGCCGCAGCCGAGTGTCGACGAGGGCGCGAAGCGCAGGCGGGGAAGACCACCGAGGCAGCAGAGACTCCAAGCCGACGCAAGGCAGCAGGCGTTGCGGCGTATCCAGCCCCGGCCGACACCGATCGCAGCCGGTCTCACACCGCCGCCGAGCGAGGGCGGCCCGCCTAGAGGCCAGCAGGCGCCGCGGCACATCCGGGCTCGGCCGGTTCTGAGGGCGGGAGTCCACGCGGCGCCCCCCACCGAGGCGGGACCGAGCGTCGGAAGCACGGACAGCCAACAAGCCGGTACGGTCGCAGAGCGAGGCCAAGGCGCATGAAGACGGCTAACGGGGCGCAGGCAGGACAATGAATCGGCAGCCCGGGGGAGAGCGGAAGAGGAAGGGCCGCACCCCCGGCGGGCAGGCCTTAGGGAAATGCTCCCGGGTCCGGTGGGCCAGAAAACCCCAAGACGGAGGGAGCTGCAGGCCGAGGACCTAGCCAGCGTACTGCAGCACCTCGAGGAGGAGTTCGCGGCGGGCGAGAGGCTCGCAGACGAGCAGACGTGGTGCATGCCGGTGCCGCGCGCGAGGCAGGTGCGAACGGTGCAGAGGTTCTACCGGGCGTTCCACGACGCCGGCACGCTACCGGTCTTGACCTGCAAGGTATGTTACCGGAAGCGGTCAAGAGAGGAGCTAAGGGAAATGGCGTGGGAGAGGTGGCCATGGCGGAGCCCCGTCACGGAGGGCGGCCGGTCTCTATTCGCGTGCCGAAGCTGCTTCCCGAGGCCGGGCGGTGCCGGTATGCGCAGAGTGCGCGCGGTGCCTCGGGCGTGAGAGGCTTCGCCTGGCATGCACCTCCACGGCCGGCTCGGCTGCGAGCACGCGTACCCCGACGAGCTCAGGGCCTCACGCCGGTCGAGGAGAAGCTGATCTCGCTCAACTCGTGCTACGGCTTCGTGACGAGGTATAGCATCCCCGGCGGGCAGAGGCAGAGCGTGAGGTATCCGAGGCACGTCAAGGGCCATATCACGGTATTCCCGAATGACGTGCAGGGGCTGGTGACCAAGGTGCTCCCGCACCCGCTAGTCCGGGTTATGGACGAGATCCATGTCTCGTGGCAGGGGGCCGAGAAGCCGGGGCCACGCGACCTGTCGGGCCTCCTGTCGGTAAGGCGGCGGGCGGTCGAGAGGGCGCTCGTCTGGCTTAAGGAGAACAACCCGCTCTACGGCGAGGTCGAGATCGACGTGGCGGAGATGGAGAGCTGGGGGGCGCCGCCGCACGGGGTGCCGTCGGTGGTATGCGAGCGCCTGGAGCGAAACGAGCCGTCAGCGCGGGAGAGGACGCGGACCGCGCAGGTGGTGCCGCCGACGGAGCGGGCCATGGACGACGAGGGCGCGGTCGAGATCGAGGAGATCCTCGTCATGTTAAGCCAGGGGCGGGATCCCGCGGAGAGGAGTCGCGACGTCAGGCCCACGTGCGACGACGAAGAGGACGGCGCTAGGCCCGAAGAGGGCGGGGAAGTAATCAACGAGGTGACGTCGTCCGGCATGTTCCCGCTCGACGGGCCGCCAGGGGTGGCGGACGCCGAGAAGATTCGCTTCGCCCGCGACGCCGTCGGGCCCGACGGAGCGCGCGCCCGCGCAGGCCCGAGGACGTGGGTGGGGACGGCGGCCGGAGGGCGAGCGCGGCGGCGATGGCGACAAGTACGAGCCCTATATCCAGGTACGGCGCGGCAACGAGTTCGCCGACTCGGCGGACGCCTCCTTCTTCGCCAAGACCTTCCCGACGCTATTTCCCTTTGGCGTGGGGGGGCCGAGGCTCGCCGACGAGGCCGCTACCCGTGGAAGCGAGACTACCGGGTGGCGGGGCCGGGCTGCCGAGGCGGAGCGGGTCGCGGAGGGCCTCACGTCGACCCGGAACATGAACCTCCAAGCATGGGCCGACGTCGTGCTACGGCGCCACGGCGGCCGGTTCGCGACGCATCCCATCTTCGCCTTCCTAGTGTTTAATATGGGGGTGCGGTCTAGGAACCGCCAGGCCAGTATGCTAGGCGTAACGAGGAAGAACTTCGCAAAGGTCGAGGGTCTACTAAAGTCGTTAACGACGCAGAGGCTCGAGGCGGCGAGGGTCGAGCTCGAGGCCACGGGCAAGACCGGCGACGACGGGGTAAAGGAGCTCCTCCGGTCCCTATCGGTGTTTGGCCACCGGCAGCCGATGTCGAGGGAGAGCCGCCTAAGTATGCGGAAGAAGATACTATCTCTCATCGTCAGATACGGGGTGCCGGCCATTTGGTTCACGCTAAACCCGAACGATATTACGAACCCGGTAAAGCTACGGCTGGCGGCGTACCGCGCCCGCGACCCCGAAGCGGCCGAGGCCTTCCTAAGAGAGCTAGGGACTGCGTATAAGCGGGTGCGGCTGGCGATAGCGGACCCGATGAGCGCGGCCGTCTTCTTTCACCGGGAGATAAAGCTCTTCTTCGAGCATTACGTCGACGTCGGGGACGAGTCGGTGTTCGGGCACGTCGGGGCGTACTACGGGGCGGTAGAGACGAACGAACGAGGTGCTCTCCACCTCCACGGGCTTCTCTGGCTAAAGGCAATGCGCGCCTCGGCGAGGCGCTGGCCGGCGCCGGCGGCGAGGAGCAGGCAGCGTACCGGGAGCGAATAATCCGCTACGTAGACAGCGTCTTCTCCGAGGTAAGGCGGACGACGTCAGAGGCGTAGCCTCCCGGCTCCGTCGAACGCAGACTAAAGGGCCGAAACTAACCCTAGGCCGTAGGAGCTAGACGCAGAAGGGCACCACGCTGTGCAGGCGGAGCGGTCGATCACGGCGCACATGTCGTCGTGGCTTGACGACGTCGAGCGCTTAACGGACGCGTTCGACGAGGAGGCCAACTTCTGCGCCGGCGCGACGCAGGTCCACACGCATAGCGCGACCTGCGTCAAGTACTCGCTCGCGGGGGCCGGTCGTAAGGGCGACCTCTGCCGTTTTAAGGCGCCCTGGAGGCTAGTAGAGAGGACGGCGCTCACGGCGGACGGCGTGCTGGAGATCCGGCGGACACATAGCATGGTGAACCGGTGGAACAAGGCGATGGCGGTAGGGCTGCGGCACAACCACGACATCTCGTTCATCGCGACGCAGCGCAAGACCATGGCCCTGATCTACTACATCACCAACTATGCGACTAAGGTAGAGGACCCTACGTGGAAGCGGGTGGCCGCCGCGGCCGAGTTACTCCCGACCTCAGAGCCGACAGCAGAGAGCAGTATCCCCAGCGCCGACCGCAACGATAGCGGGGGGAACGGAGCCGGAGAGGAGGCCGCGGCGGACCCTATAAGGGGGAACAAGACGAGGGTGTTCCTACTAAAGGCGGCGAACCGAATCTTCACGGAGCGCCCGCTATCCCAGGTCGAGGTGATCGCCGACCTCCTGGGGTATCCCGCGGAGTTTTGCAGCGGCGCGGCGTGGGCGTACGTGAACACGAACCAGCTCTACTGGGCCGTCTTCCGCCAGTGGCGGCACCTCCGACTGGCGAGCGGGGTAGAGGCGACGGCGAGCGACGCGCCGGACGAGACGGTCGTCGTCGAGGAGGCGGGGCCGAGGATCTCCTTCATCGAGGCCTACCGGCATAGAGGCGGGCTCCTACAGGGCCTCTGTCTCTACGACTACGCGTCGCTCGTAAGGCTGAAACGGAATGGCGGAGGCGCCGAGGGCTGCGCGGCCTGGGGCGAGATACCCTTTAACGAGAGCTGGGCTCCGGGGAAGGACTGGGCGCAAGTGCTCAGACGGCCGGGTAAGGGGGCGAGCGTACGCCTAGACGGGTACCTCAGTAAGGAGTTCGGCGAGGAAGACGAGGAGTCATGTCATCGGAGGTACGTATAGCAAAGCCGAGGGCGTACCGTCGGACGGCGACGCGGCCCGTGGCCCGGCTAACGGTGCAAAGGGCGGCGGTGCAGCATCTAGCGCTGTTCGTGCCGTGGGAGGCATTCGTCTGCGAGGAGACGGGCGACATCAACGACATCTGGGCGCGGGAGCGGGCGGCGCTGGCGCCGAGGATCGCGCGGCTCGCGGACAACGTACAGCTGCTCCGGCGGTCGGCGGAGGACGCCAAGCGCGACGCCAGGCAATGGGCCGCTACGACCGAGGAGGGCGAGCCGGCGGCGGCGGCACGCGCCAACGAGGGCGCGGAGGAGGCGGCCGAGGGGGGCGGGCAGGTGTACCGCGCCGGCGGCGCAGGCGACGCGGCGCGGCTCATCGACGTTGTCCGGAACGCCGCCGGCGCGGGCCAGGTAACGGCGCGGTCGGCGGAGCTGCTGGCGATGACGCAGCAGCTCTGCCGGTTTCAGCAGTCGGCGCTCTCGTCGGCGGCCGAGCTCGATGCGACGGTGGTGGCGGGCGAGGCGGGGCCGAGGCGGGTAATCCTCGCGGGTCGACCCTCTCCGGGCGAGCTGCCGCGGCAAGAGCAGGTAAGAGCCATCAAGTCACAGCAGAGGAGCGCCGCGCGGAGCGGGAGCGGGCGATCCAAGGAATCCAGGGCGGCGCGGCGGCGTCGGCGCCCGGGGCCGACCGAGTGCGGCGCTACGCGGGGTGATGGGCGGCTTCGGCGAGGACGACGTCGAGGTGACGGCAGCGGACGCCGACGCGGGGATGCGTGTGCGGCTCGGCCCGTCGAGCTCGTTTGTCGCCGCCGGCAGGGAGCTAGCGGGCCGGCTAACGCTTAACGAGAAGCAGTCGATCGCCCTCCTCATCATATGCCGCCAGCTCGATCAGGCCCGGCAGGGCGGCGACGCCGGCGACAGCGGCGACGCCGGCCAGCTCTGTCTATTCGTCGGCGGCGAGGGCGGTACCGGCAAGTCGCGCGTCATTGAGGCGCTCGTCGAGCTGTTCGCCCAGAGGGACCTATCGAGCCAGCTACTAATCACGGCGACATCGGGGACGGCGGCGGCGCGGATCAACGGCATCACCCTGCACTCGGCCTGCGGCCTCTTGGTCGGCCAGGGCGGCCAGGCGGGGTCGGCGAGGAGGTAGACGGGTGCGGCTGCCGGGACAGGGCGAACGCTTCGTCGACGGCCGGTCGCGGATGGACTGGCAGGAGAAGGAGGTGCTGGTGATCGACGAGGTCAGCATGCTCGGGCGCGCACGCTGCACGCGGCGAACGAGCAGCTCTGCCGGCTGCGGGCTCGCCGCGGGACTTCGGCGGCATCCCGGTAGTCATCCTCTGCGGCGACTTCCATCAGTTCCGGCCGGTGCAGGAGCGGTCGATCCTGCTGCCGAGCGCGGCGGTGCCGTGGGACGCGGACGGCGCGTTCGCGGCCGAGCGGCGGCGGCAGCACGATAAGGCGCACGCGCTATGGAGGAAGTTTACGACGGTCGTCATGCTCGACGAGCAGATGCGCGCCGCCGGCGACCCGGAGCTACGGCGGCTGCTCGGGCGGATCCGGCGGGGGGAGCAGGACCGGTCGGACCTAGACCTCCTCAACTCGAGGTGCTACCGGGCGGGCAGGCGGATACCGTGGGAGACTGGGGTGACGGTGGTGACGCCGCTTAACAGGAATCGCTGGAACCTCAACCTAGAGGCGGCCCTCGCGTTCCGGGCCCGGCAACGGACGGCGGCGCGCATCTTCGTCTCCGAGCATAAGTGGAGGGACGGCACGCCGACGGAGGAGGAGGCGGTGCTGATGCTAGGCCAGGGCGACGACAGCGCGACTCCGGTGCCGGCCGTCTTCCTCTTCGTGCCCGGCATGCCGGTCGTCGTGAACCAGAACACGCACCAGGGGCTGAAGCTAGTGAACGGGGCCGGGTACACGGCGGTCGACGTCATACCCGACCGGGCCTTCCCCGGCCACCGGGTCTCGGCGGAGCTGACAATGCACTTCGGGCCGCCGGTCGGCATGGTGCTGGCCTCGGAGACGACCAGGATTTCCACTTCGTGGGGATGCCGTCCGGGACGATCCTGCTGACGCCCATCAGCGTCAAGATCCAGGCCCAGCGGAAGCGGCCGTGGCAGCGGAACGACGTTAGCCGGAGGGCCTGCCGTGCGCCGCGGCCTTCGCCTGCACCGACTACAAGGTGCAGGGCGGGACGCTGGAGCGCGTGGCGCTGGAGCTCCGGGGGGCGAGGACGACGACCGTCGACGGGCGCGCGGTACCGTCGCCGTGCGACCCGTATAGCCTATACGTGCAGCTATCGCGGTGCCCGACGCTCGACGGCATCATGCTCGTGTCGGAGGTGCGGAGAGGGACCTGGTAGGGAACAGGGTGCCCGAGGAGATGACGGCGGCGCAGGCACGGCTAGAGAGGCTCAGTGAGAGGACCGTCGGGAGGCGCTACGCTGGCTCGGCGATGATCTCCGGGGCCGCGGGGAGGGACAAGACGAGACTGGGGGGGGATAAATAGATAGAACGCCCAACTATTTCCTCATTAGGCCCGAGCCGCAGAACCACCGTTCTCACAAAACCTCGGCGGGGGCAAGTTCTATACGTCTTCTTCCAAGACACCCCAAAAGAAAGGCAAAGGGCCCGGCTAGGAGTGATAGGCGGCCGAGAGGGCGGACGAAACAGGGCCGTTCCATCAGAAAAAAAGGAGGCCGGAGGAAGGAGCGGTAAGCAGTCGAGGTTGCGGGGAAGCTTTCAAACCATGATAATTTCCTTTCCGACCAATCAAAAGGGAGGAACCCGACCAATCAGAGGACGGGAGTTTGGGGGGGAAAAAATTGGGTTGGGTGGTCGCGCGATAAGAAGAGGCCTTTCGTTCCTCAAGGCACAAGGCATAGGGTTGGGTGGTCGCGCGATAAGAAGAGGCCTTTCGTTCCTCAAGGCATATTCAATAACGATTACTGTCGGTAGGTCTCGTGCACGTAACAAACAGGGTATACCGGTGTGTCGTGTTATGCAATGAGGATTTGTCTATCTAAAAGGGGGAGGAGGCCACGATGCTAGCTTTGTGGCCTCAGCTGTACACGTGACTGTGTACGTAAGCTAGCTAGATGAGTACAATAGACTAATACCATTCCCACAATTACGATATATGTCGGTAGGTCTCGTGCACGTAACAAACAGGGTATACCGGTGTGTCGTGTTATGCAATGAGGATTGATTCTCTATCTAGGGAGGCGAGGCCAGCGTGGAGAAAAAGGGGGCACGCTGTCCTCAGCCGTACACGTGACCATAAGGGTCATGTGCCGATCATGTGATCAGAGACGGATGCATACAAAGGATGAGTACCATTCCCACACTGGCAACTTTTCTTTTTGTGGTTGCGGCTGCTGTAGTGACCGGGGCAAGAAGATGTAACGACCGTGAGGAAAGAGGGGTTCTTGACCAGGGCTCCGTTAGGGTCTTAATGAAGTAGCTTTGTTAAGACTAACGAATTCTTCCCATACTGGCAATTTTTCTTCTTTTGTGGTTGCTGTGATTGTCGAAATAGTTACCAAGACGGTCCGTATCAGCCAAAGAAAGCAAGAAAGGGGTAGGGGTCTGAAGGATGTGGAACGTTATCCTTCTGACGGGTGTTTTGGGGGCGATTGAGCCGATTGAGTGAATGGCTTCGCCGTTGCCGAATTTGATGGTAGCCTGGCCGGATGTGGGGCTGTCTAGGGCTACAGGGGGGTCTTCTCGTTGTAAAGCAATGTACTGAGAGTGACCGGCTGTAGAGACTTTTGTTGCACCTGTGTCAATCATGATGCCTTAAAATTTGTCCTTGGAGTAGCGATCTTCAATGAAAAATTGGTAGGCGGGAACAGTGTTCTGATCTGTACGACGAACGTCTTCTCCAGTGATCAAATGGTTAAACGCTTGCTGACAGAGCATTTGGCTTGCTTGCCACTGTTTGGGGTGATTGTTGGTGTCGTTGTCGTTTTCTTCCCATATGTCATTGTCGTCGTTCAGGTCGTCCATCTCATGGCCTTCGTAATCTAGAATGTAGGTTCCAAAGTCTGTGAGTTGTACGCCAGTGAAATGACAATGTGTGACATATTGATCCTTTGCCTTTCGTCGTTCTTCTGCAGAGTGTTTAGTTGACCAGCAACCTTCTTGTCCACAAACAAAGCACTTTTTGGTCCATTGCGGTTAGTGTAGCTAGGGGCGTAGTTGCCACGGCTTTGGGGCCTATGGCTTCCACGGTTATAGCCTTGTCCATAACCATGAATGGGTCGCTGTCCTGAGTATCCGTACCTACCTCGTACGCGGTTGTTATGGTATCGGCGATCGAGGTAGTACTGATCGTTGGGGTCCGTTTGATCAAATGATCCATCAGGGCTTTGAGTGAATTGAAGGTTTGTTCGTCGGGCAAGATGGGTCTCAACGGAAGATCGAAGATCTGCAAAGAGGGTCTCGATCTTTTCTGCAGGTTTGAAGAGGGCGTATTCAAGTTCGGGTACACCACGGCATGCGATGATAAGCGTAGTACGCAGTGGAATGTTTCCTGCGTAGTCAGGGCCAAGGGCTCTCTGACAGAGTTGTAGCTTATCGAAGAGTAGTTGAAGGACTTCATGGAGGGATTTGGAGGCATCTTGGGCACGAATCGAGTTGAAAGTGGTTGTGGTCCAATCTGTATAGTAATGGACGTGGTTAACTTCCGTGTCAAAGCGTTGTTTGATGCTGTCGTATGCCTTCCTAAACGTGGTAGTCCATTCGATCTTGTCAATGTAGAACGTTTGTGCTCTTCCGGCGAGGATTCGGGGAAAAAGGGCGTGAAATTGTGACGGTTTCACTTGGATGTTGTAGCAGATGCTCATGAAGATTCGTAACTTGTCGTCGAGGAGATCGTACGGCTCTCCTGTGTAGTTCTGGTCCTTGTCCCAGAGCTTCATGAACATATATTGGGTATCTGCGTCAACAGGGGCATTCGGGGTATCATCCGGGGGAAGTTTTGTATATGCTTCAGGGTGCATAGGCTCGGATGGAGGGTCGGGTGGGGGGGGGTTGTGGGCGGATTGGACGAGTTCGGGGTGCCTGAAGCGGTGGGTTGTCGGATGGGCTGTAAGAGAGGTTAGGTTAGGTGCATCTTGGGTGGTCAGCGCGGAAGTCGTAGGAGGTGATGTTGTCGGTAGTGTCTCAGCGGTGGGCTTCTGGGCAGGTGGCTTCGTTAAGGTCTTAATGGGGGGTTGTTTGTTAAGATCGTAACGAGATGTTGCTACTGATGGCGACTGGGGTTCTCGGGGAGAAGTTAGAGCCTTTGATCCTGCTGCTCGTAACTTATGAGCGGTTGTCCCAATGTCGAAATCGGTCAAAAGGGCCATTTTCCCGTCCTGTATAGATGCCACGTCTCCTTAGAAGTAATCTGAGGGCTCTCTTGTAGTCCATATGTACCCGGTTCCATGTGTCTTGGTTCCAGCCTTCGAAGTGTTGTTGGAAGTGGTCAAGGATGTTGTCTCCTTCTAGGCGTTCGAATTGGGCATTGGACATGAACCTAGCGGCGTACGTCGTAACTGCGATCTCATCTTCCTCGTCAGGTTTGATGTCTTGTTCCCAAAGGGTAACATCAACTTTGTCGTATACGGATGTCTGGATAGCTAGTCCTTGCATCCGTTCGCTCAATTGTTCGAGCTGGGCGCTCTCGTTCGGAGTCGTAGCTCGATCGGTCGGGGTCATCGTTGATCAAGTGAATGAGACGATGGGGTTGGTTCGTATTGGTCTATTCGTATACGAATTGTCGCTAGTAGGAGTTCAAGTGTCGCGTACTAAGTCGGTTGCTCGTGGCCTGACTGAACTGACGAGGAGCTCGTTACTTAACGTCAAGAGTCGAACGTTCTTACTAGTTGTTTTGCGATGTGGTCGCCTATCAATATGGTCGCTCGTGGCCTGACTGAACTGACGAGGAGCTTGCAAGTCGATAGTTGGAAGGATTCTCGTGGCCTGACTGAACTGACGAGGAGATTCCTCGTTCTTAGCACAAATAACCTTCTTCTAGGTATACGAAGCTTGTCTACAATGTAGAGGAGCCTCAAAGCCTGTCCTATTAATAAGAGGGGCCTGTATTGCCTTCGAAGGTTGAGGAATTTGTCTCTTCCACCTAGCTGTCTGTGATTGACCGAATCAATCACTGATCAGTGTCGGTAGGTCTCGTGCACGTAACAAACAGGGTATACCGGTGTGTCGTGTTATGCAATGAGGATTGATTCTCTATCTAGGGAGGCGAGGCCAGCGTGGAGAAAAAGGGGGCACGCTGTCCTCAGCCGTACACGTGACCATAAGGGTCATGTGCCGATCATGTGATCAGAGACGGATGCATACAAAGGATGAGTACCATTCCCACAATATATATATATTATACTTGAAATTTAACGACAGTTTTTCTATTTAGAATCAGAATTTTTACAATATACGTGTTAAAGATGTTAGTACGTTGGTGCGTTACGAAGCCTTATGGCCGCGCTTTAAGGTAGCAATTGCGCCGGCGTGGCTCGTTCTAAGAGAGTAAACGGAGTACTTCACCGCCCGGGCAAAATGGTAGGGACTTTAATGTATTCTTTTTAAAAGTTACCAAAGACGCGCGATGCAGGATTAACCCTTGGACCAATTTCTATAAAACTGGGTAAACAGATTCTATAGTACATAATAGATATTATACATATTCTTTCTGCTTAAAGAATGTTAATTGATTGCGTGACGCTGAATTAAAGGCCCGATCAAGGGAAACGCATACTGTAACCCACTATATCTACGGTACGAAGTAGACGCGCGAGCATTAGACCAAGATCTTTAGGTATATAGTGCAGCGCTAACCATTTGACCAATTCGTATGAGTTTTAGTATATGAATTATATCAAGCCTTTTGCATGTTATATCAAGCCTTTTGCATGTTATATCCTTTTTTTGTATTTCAATAATATCAATTGGTGGCGTGGCGGCTGGTTAAAGTCATAAAAGAGGGAAACGCGAACGTCAAAGAAATGGGTATTGTGCCCCCCTCTCCGGCAGGAGAGGGGGGGGCCTAAGCCCCTTAGTCAACCCCCCGAGTAGTTGTATGAAGTTGCCGTAGCTTCTCTGGCGATGTGGGCCGGGTTCCGGATCTCTCGTTGCAAGGCGATAGACCAGCATTCCCTTCAGTTCTCTTCGGAGCAGGTCTCTCGGCTAAGGAAGGACGGGCGGCGAGATTCCTCAACGTCAGGGTCGCGCCTCTGGATCTGGAGTTCTTCATTTAGTTAGCGTTGAATGGCCTTACGGAGTGAGGAAGACGGAGCTGACATGAGAATTGCACTGACTACGACAGGCGAGGCAGTTCTTGGTCTTCCAAACAGACTTCCGTTTGCTGACGAAGTCACCCGCCGGTTTCTCCTCGCCACAGCGGGCACAGACGATGGAAATCAAGTCCATCTTGAAGCCCTTGAGGAGTAGACTTAGGACTCAGTACTTCGCGAACCACGCATCAAGACGCGTTGCTTCAACGAAGTTTCCACGTCAAGGCGACGCGCAAGTAAACAAACCAGGGTTGCTACGGGCCACAGACACCTAGCCCCCCCTTTTTGCCGTTATCCAATTGTTGCACGTTTTGCGGCCGTCCATACAAAATTCGGGCCAATCAGAACTCGGGAAACTTATTGACCCCTGTCTGCACCAAACCCTCATTACGAGAGGAAGGCTCGCCAGCCGCGGCTCGCGCAAAGAAGCCTTTCGGAACGAAATTTGGCGACAAGAGAACCGGAGAAGAGTTGGCTACAGAAGAGAGAGAGAGAGTTGGCGACAGTAGATAGGAGACAGGAAGAAGAGTGAGGTCGAGATACGAGACACGGCGAGAGACGTAGAGCATTATCGTGAGTGAAACCGAGACAGAGCGTCGGGGAGGCAGGCTAGGCCGCTGGAGGGAGATTTTGTTTAAAAGGCGCAAACTCAAAGGGCGTGGAGAGACGGCAGGGTTGAAGAGAGATGTGAGTGGGTAATGCATGTCTGGGCGAGTGGAAGGCTCGGAAAATTTACATGTGCTACCGGTATAAGTCGTAGGTATAAACAGAATAAGGAGTATATTGGGGAAGTTTTGACTTGATCGTCTTCATGAAAAGGAGAACAAGAAGAGAAGAGAATGTGCTATTCGAGCCTTTGGCAGCTGATTTTGAGGATGATGAGACATGTTGTCATGTTGTATTGTTTCGTTTGATGCTTTAAAGTTTAGAGAATATTCTTGGGCGGACGTCGGGCGCGCAGTGGTCGGGAAGATATCGACGCGGGAGGTCTGATAGAGCCAGAGGCGGATGTGTCTTGGTGATTGACCTGTTCGGTGTCCGTCTCTGACTCTGCGGGGTCTTCCGGGGACAGAAAGGAGGAGGTATCGGATTTGGGGGAGTCTTGACCGTCACAGTCGGTGATTATGGTGGAAGTTTCGGGAGAAAGTCGCGGTCTCTTGGTTGGGGTTTGGTAGGGATCGGGCAATGACCGACTTGATGCCAGCATAAAGATCGACTGGGCCAGAAGCATGCGGCGTGGGGAGGCGGGGCTTTGGGCGGCCTTGGGTTTCTTCGTAGAGGTAAACCTGGCCAACGCAACGCTATAGTCCGAGGATTGCCGACCGCGCTCTTGGGTGTCGTCGGCAGTAGTTGTGTTGCAGAAGCCTGGTCGGACATGGCCTTGTCGTGGAAAGTCCACGTGTCGGGGACGACGATGAAGATATAGTCTTGGTCGAAAGCCGGGGCATGTTTCATGATCTGGTGATCCAGTAAGCCGGCGATTTTGCCCGTACAGGTGAAGAGAGCGTTCGACTGGAACTGGCTGTCGCGCCTCTCGGTCATCTTCTTGCATAGGAGGTCCAAGGATTAGCGTGAATGGGGAAGATGACGAAAACTTGGAAGGGTGAAAGCCCTTGAAGGGGTTTGCCGGGAATCCCAGGACAAATAAAGGTGGAGAGCTGGACAAAGCCGCAGCAGCTCAGCTGGGTGTCGTCAAGGGCCGCAGCCGAGTTTCCATGCAGGAGGTCGCGGCCGGAGCCGATGACAGGTCCCGTGAAGGAGACAATGGGTTGTATCGTTGGGAAAGTATCCACCGAGCTGAGGGTGCGAGTGACAATTCTATGGATATCGTCAGGGAGGGCAGTGGCGACAGAGAGATTTGGAGCATAGACTCACGGTTGGTAGCTGTGATCGCGGACTATAAGCGCGGGGACGGTGTATTCTGTGATGTTATCATCGTCCGACTCCAAGCCATCACGTCGCTCGATTTCCCACGTCAGGGCAAAGGGATGAACACGGCCGACCATGAAGAACCGTTGCTCGGTCCATTCCGAGGAGATTATCTGTTGGTTGTATATGGAAATATTAAGGCTGAAGAAGATGCAGGTCGATGGATTGCCAGTATCTGACCGGATTGCTGCATACTCCGGAGTCGACAGCCATGAGGGCGTGGGAAGGAAGACCCTCGCTAGGGTTTCTGCGTTGAGCCCTTTGACACGATGCTCATTCTGGTAGGCGAACCTAGCCGGGCAGCCGGGCTGGACAAAGGCCATCATGGACATGTCGGCGCCAGCATTTTCTGGCTGTCAAGAGGTTGCCGCGGGAGGACGAGGTATCGACGTTGAGCTGGGAGGCCGACATCGTGAGAACATGGCAGATGTAGTCACCGTGGAAGTGTAAATGAGGGTTACGCAGAGTGGAGGTGGGCATCCTATAAAGCAGGTTTTCTTGCTGCTCGAAAGAGGGCTCGCGGCTAGGGTCGGGGAGACTTAAGAGTCAGAGAATGCTACCTAGGTGATAGATCAGAAGCGGGGGTATGCGGGAATGAGCTGGCGAGGTTCTTGAACAGTCTCGACCATCTGGTTCTATGGTCGTGAGTGAAGTAGGGAGCCGGGGGTTGGAAGTTGAGTAGGGGTGATGGCTATGTCGCGAGAAGTTGGAGGTCGGCGAACAGTAAGGTTAGTGTGGGTAAGTCTGCGGAGAAAGAAAGTCCAGCAGTACCCTTCGGTGTCATCGTTGCATGGAGTAGATAGCAAAGGCGACAATAACGAATGAGAGTGAAGGAAAGAAAGAGGTTATGGTAGTATTGCAGGGTCCCTTTTGACGGTCGTCGGTAGTTGGATGGGCATTGCGTGCGGCTGAGCGAGGCGGGTGCCGACCGTGTCGAGTCCACTATTGGGACACGGTGAAGTCGGATATAGGGGACGACCTGAGGAGGAGGATGCGAGTTGGTCACGAGAACTCTCCAAGAGGGTTTGCAAGTCGAGACTCCGGTGGCTAGCGACTACAAGAGGACAGGCAGGGGGATCCTGGCTGTCGCTTTAGCATGAAGGCCGTTGATGCGACGTTGGTGGTGGCGAGGGAGCAAACCTAGCCGGGTAGTCCGGTTGCACGAGGACACCGTGGACATGTTATCGCCGGCAGCCTTTTGGCTGTTGCTCGACGAGGTGGAGTGGCAGATATTGATGGAGCAACTGATGCGCAAGGTGGGTGGGACGGCGTTGGAAGGGCCGGAGAGTATGGTTGGAAGTGTGCGGCGGGCGGTTGGCGCGGCCACCCCATGTGCCGGAGGTCGGCAGTAGCCAGGGATTCGCTGGAGTGCGCAAAGAGAGCACGGCGATGGAAGGGCCGCCTTTGGCAAAGCTGGGGTAGCAGGTCGCACGTGGAGACCGGCCGAGGGCCGGGACGGTGGACGCACATAGGGAGGGTAAATGGGGATTACAAAGGGTAGTAGTATTGCATCGCTTCGGTACCATAGGCAAGCATTATAAGGGAAGAAACGCCACGGCCATGAGTAGTGATCGTTAGGAAGCTTCCCACTCGGAAAGAAATAGTGTACGCCAAGAAGCGAGATTATCCAAGTGGAAGTGCTCCGGAGCCAAAACTTTCTAGCCTGTTGCCAATCCACGCTAGTCGACGTCGAGGAGGCAGTAGCATGGCGGACAGTCCTGCAGGGAAGCTAGGCGAGGCGGCCGCTCACCGTGGAGCCTGTTCGTTGTCAGTCGAGGATGGAGAAGAGGGTAGGAACGGGGGAGTGCCTGTTTCGGGGTGCGGAGATGATACAGGGCAACTCCGAGAAGGGGCACGGAGCACGGGAGACAAGGTTGGGGCGGTTCGGGAGATACAGATCAGTGGCGAATGAAGCATTAACGTTCCGGCTGATTCAGCCTAAGCAGTCTGCGGTCGAAGAAACCGCATGGAGAAAGCATGCAGAGGCGATCGCAAAGTCACTGCCGAGAAGACCGCCGCGAGGCGGTTTGCGGTCAAGCAGAGCACGGAAGTCCCGTAATTTGGTCAGCAGCGGAAATTCCGCGCAACGTCAGTCACCGAGTCCGCTTCCGAGGTTCGTGTTGCCTACAGAACGTGGAGACCAGGGGGCAGTGGGCTCTAACAGTCCGCCCCTTCATCGGCCGTTTTGCCCCAGGAGAGGGTCCTGAAGGTGACGGGCAGGGAGATAAGGCGGCGACCGGCGGTGTCCCGGGTGTTCGTTCGAAAAGGGACCGACGCTCCGACCTATCCAGCCCAAGGATACGACTTTCCAAGACCTAAGACGAACGGCGCAATTTGCAGCATCGATTGCATGGGGTTTGCCCAAGCTCCGTCGGGGACCGGTTCGGCGGCCAAGGGCACAGGTGGGTGTGGACTGTTACGGCCAGGCACATACGAGCCTTGACGGCTATAAAGATGTATTGGCACTATGAACAAAGACTCAAAGCTAAGGAGCAAGAAAGGAAGACTAGACTACACGACCGAGCGGGCCCTTATATAGACACGAGGTCGCGCGTGGGCACGTGATGCTGCTTGGGCACGTGACACTGGTGAGGTGCTGCGCTGGCGGCTCTACGCTGGCGCCCAGGGTCGTGACACTGCCCCCCGTCTAAGGCCTTGATATGCGTATCAAGGTAGTCAGTCGTGGCGGCGGCTTCTTGGTTTCACGGCTTTCTGCTGTGTCGTCATCGTCTCGTTCCTCGCAGCCCTCCTCCGCTGCAGCACATTCGATCCAGTATTGCAGGTTGACGGGCGGCCAGCTGAGCCGTCACTTGGGCCATCGTTGGCGGGTCTTCGATTGAGGCCGACGTCTCCTCTTGCAGCTGGAGAATCGGGGTCGAGTCTTGGTCTTGGTCTTGGGTCGAGGGCCTTGATCAGGCACTTGCGATGCCGTACGGACTGACTTCCTTGTCGGGGTCCGTAGTCGAGTTTCTTCGGCATCACCTAGTCAAGGGCGAGTCGGGGTCGAATCCAACACGAAGCGAATCGGTGGGCCAAACCTCCTGATCACACACAGGAGGGTCAAGTCGACAGGCGGAGGTTGTTCCTTTCCAGTCTTTAGGAAGAGGAACGGGTCGATGCGCTGCACAGTCCTTAGTGCGTGCGCGGGTCAAGGCCGAGCCGAGCTGCACACGCAGACGAGTCGACAGGTGCCTCCAGTACCTTCGGAGGGCTTGGTCGAGTGTCCTCACGGACAGTCAACCCTCTGATCACATACAGAGGGGTCGGAAGTGATTCGCAACGCAGTCCTTAACGAAGCGAATCGGTCGGGCTCCTGATCACACACAGGAGGGTCGGTCGGTGTTGAGTCGGGGCACAGTCCTTAGTGCAACGGGTCAACGGTCGGTCGGAGTGCACGAGTTTTCAGTCCAGCGCGAAGGACCAGGTTGTGGGTGCCTATTTGTTTATCGCGGGGCACGCGAAGGTTGCCTATATTTGTTTCGCGGGGCACGCGAAGATTGAGCTTTGAGTAGTGTTACGGCCAGGCACATACGAGCCTTGACGGCTATAAAGATGTATTGGCACTATGAACAAAGACTCAAAGCTAAGGAGCAAGAAAGGAAGACTAGACTACACGACCGAGCGGGCCCTTATATAGACACGAGGTCGCGCGTGGGCACGTGATGCTGCTTGGGCACGTGACACTGGTGAGGTGCTGCGCTGGCGGCTCTACGCTGGCGCCCAGGGTCGTGACATGGACGATGGCGCAGCAGAGGCAGCGGACGGCTCGCTGCGCGGACAGAGGCAGTCCCGGAGGCGGGAGAAGAGAGCCCGTCTTCCTAGCCGGGATGGGCGCCCGATAAAACAGGTCCGAAGTGGAATCGGAAGGCATAGGAGACGGGAGCTGCAGGCCGAAGACCTGGCGAGTGTGCTGCGCTTTTTGGAGGAAGACTTTGCCTTGAAGGAGAGATTGTCTAACGATCAGACGTGGTGCACGCCAATACCGCTCGAGAGGAAGGTGTCGACGGTGCGAGACTTCTATCAGGCGTTCCACGATGCGAGCACGTTGCCGATACGGACCTGCATGGTGTGCTACCGCAAGTGTACGAGAGGAGAGTTGAGGAGATTACATGGGATCATTGGCTGTCAAGTTGCGTACCAAAGGGCGGCCGCTCACCATTTTCATGCCGGAGTTGCTTTCCTGAGGGCGAGTCCGTGTCGGTGTGCGCCGAGTGTGGCCGATGCCTGGCGCGCAGGAGCCTGTCGCCGGCGATCCACCTTCACAGTCGCCTTGGCTGCGAGCACATGTTCCCCGATGAGCTCAAGGGACTGACGCCGGTCGAAGAGAAGCTCATCTCGCTGAACTCATGTTACGGGTTTGTCACGAGATATAGCATTCCGGGCGGGCAGAGGCAGAGCGTGAAGTATCCGAGGCATGTCAGGGCCACATCACGGTGTTTCCGAACAATGTGCAGGAGCTGGCCACCAAAGTGCTCCCGCACCCCTTTGCAAGCACTGGACGAGATCCACATCTCGTGGCAGGGCGCGGAGAAGCCGGCACCGAGCGACCTGTCGAGTCTCTTGTCGGTGAGGCGGCGGGTGGTCGAGAGGGCCCTTGTCTGGCTGAAGCGGAACAACCCCCACTACGCCGAGATCGAGATCGACGCGGCGGAGATGGAGAGCTGGGAGACTCGATACACGGGGTACCGTCGTCGGTGTGCGATCGTATGGAGCGGAACGAGCCGTCTGGGTGGGAGAAAGCGCGGACGGCGCACGTTGTGCCGCCCACGGAACGCGCCGTGGACGAGGAGGGGCGGTGGAGATCGAGGAGCTCTTCGCCCTGCTCAACCAAGGACAAGAAGCCGGCGGCCAGGGTGAAGGTCACGGGCCCAACGGAGAAGGCGCGGTTCGCGATGGAAGTGACGCCTGCCCCGACCAGAACGTTCCAGCGATCAACGAGGTGACGTCTTCTGGCATGTTCGCGCTCGACGGACCGCCAGACGTCGCGGACGTGGAGAAGCTGCAGTTTGCCTGTGACGCTGTTGGTGAAGGTGCCGACGACGGCCGTGCGGGCCCTATCGTCTCGAAGCTTGAACCTTCAGGCGTGGGCCGAGATCGTGCTCCGGCGCCATGGTGGTCGATTTGCACTGCACCACATCTTCGCATTTCTCGTCTTCAACATGGGGTGCGGTCGAGGAACCGCCGGGTCAGCATGTTGAGTGTGGGAGGAAGAACTTCCGCAAGGTAGAGCGCATCGTGCGTTCGATGACCACAGAAAGGCTAGCGGCGGCGAGGGTCGAGTTGGAGAGCTCGGGTAAGACGACCGATGGTGACGTGAAGGAGCTTCTCAGGAGCCTCTCGCTTTACGGCCACCGGCAGCCCATGTCGAGAGGTCCGTCTCAATATGCGGCGGAAAATCCAGTCGCTCATCGTCGGATATGGCGTGCCGGCCATCTGGTTCACCATCAACCCGAACGACATTACGAACCCGGTGAAGCTGCGACTGGCGGCATACCGCACACGCGATCCCGACGCGGCCGAGGAGTTCTTAGAAGGCCTTGGGGATGCGTATAAGCGGGCACGGCTGGCGATATCGGATCCCATGAGCTCGGCCGTGTTCTTCCACCGCGAGATGAAGCTGTTCTTCGATCATTACGTGAAGGTCGGTGAAGAGTCGGTATTCGGGCGCATCGGCAAGTACTATGGCGCCGTGGAGACGAACGAACGAGGGCGCTTCATGTTCACGGCTTGCTCTGGCTGCACGGGAACGCGCATCTCAGCTCGATGCTTGCCGACATCCACGGGGAGGATCAGGCGGCGTATCGCGAGCGAATCGTCCGATACATCGATAGCGTCTTCTCAGAGGTAAGAATGCCTACCTAAGATGTGCCACCGGGAGCCTGAAGTACTCTTCTGATGGCCAAGTGGGGCCGGGTTGACGTGCAAGGCAGGATCTGGACCAGGAAAGTTTTTGCGCCGTGCAAGCGGAGCGATCTGTGACGGGCGGTATTGGTTCCCTGCTGGACAACGCCGCGCAGTTCTCGGCCGCGTTTATCGAGGAGGCCAACTTCTGTGCCGGCGCGACGCAGGTGCACACGCATAGCCCGACCTGTGTGAAGTATTCCTTGGGCAAAGGAGGGCGGAAGGGGACCTCTGCCGGTTCAAGGCGCCATGGAGGTTAGTCGACAAGACCGCCCTCACGGCAGACGGGGTGCTGCAGATCCGGAGGACACACAGCATGGTCAATCGATGGAACGAGGCTATTGCTGTCGGGCTCCGGCACAACCATGATATTTCCTTCATTGCGACGCAGCGCAAGACAATGGCCCTCATCTATTATGTCACGAACTACGCGACCAAGGTGGAGGACCCGGTGTGGAAGCGTGTGGCGGCCGCGGCCGAGCTCCTGGCCGCCTCAACAGGTGATGGCACGGCCAACGGAGGGCGGGACGGTGGCGGAGACGCTGCCACCGATGACCCTGTCAAGGGAACAGGACGCGACAGTTCCTGATGAGAGTGGCGAACCGCGTGTTCACGGAGCGTCCGCTATCACAGGTCGAGGTCGTCGCTCACCTTCTCGGATATCCGGCCGAGTTCACCGACAGCAGCGCGTGGGCGTACCTGAACTGTTCTCTGCTGTACTGGGAAGTCTTTCGGCGATGGCGGCATCTCCGAGAAGCCAGTGGCGCTGCGGCTATGGATGACACCTTGGATGAGTCGGTCGTCGTCGAAGAAGAAGGCCTGAGAATCTCCCACGTCGAGGCGTACCAGCACCGGGAGAGCTGCTGAAAGGCCTATGCCTGTATGACTACATATCGATCGTCAGACTGAAACGCATCGGCAACGACGAGAGCTGGGCGGCTTGGGGAGATGTCTTTCGAGGATGGATGGGCGCCGGGACGACGCTGGGTTCAGGTGCTCAGGCGGCCGGGCAAGCACGCTACCGTCTGCCTCGACGGCTACCTGAGCAAGGACTTCACCTACGATGACGAGTCGTGCTACCGGAGGTGTGTATGGCAACTGCTCTGTCAGCGGGCATTATCGGAGAGGCTAACCCACCCCCTGAAGGGCAGCCGTGCAGCATCTTGCGCTGTTCGTGCCGTGGGAGTCCTTCCTGGGCGAAGGAACAGGTGAGATCAACAGCATCTGGGCGCGGGCTCGAGACGCTATGGCCCCGAGAATATCATGTCTCGTCGACAACGTGCAGCTGCTTCGACGATCCGCCGAAGACGCAAAACGCGACGCCAAGCAATGGGCAGCCTCGTCCGGCGATGGCGACCCGACGGTCGCACACGTCGAGGAGGGTGGAGCAGGCGAGGCGGGCGCGGAGTCTGCAGCGACATATCAGCCCAACAGCATCGGAGACGCAACGCGGCTCATCGACGTCGTCCGAGGTGCAGTGGGAGCGAATCAGGTGACGGCCAAGTCGCCGGAGCTCATGGCAATGATACAGCAGCTCTGTCGGTTTCAGCAATCGGCGCTGCGCTCGACGGCCGAGCTCGAGGCCACGGCGCTGATCGAACGAGGGAGAGGCGGTTAAGCATGCCAGGGCGGGTATTTTCAGGGGCCGCACTACCGCCGCAGGATCAGGTCAAGGCTATCAAGTCGCAGCAGGTAAGTGCCTCGAAGGAGAGGAGAGGATGATCCAGGGATACAAAGCACGCCCGCCGCCTGGGAAAGCGATCGCCGCGCAGCGTTGCGAAGGGTGATGACCGGTTTCGGGAGGACGAGGTCGAAATGACGATGGCCGACTCCGACGAGACCGCTATCGACGCAGGGGCGGGAATGGACGTTCAGTTTGGCCCATCAACCTCCTTCCTCGCGGCGGGCAAGGTGTTGGCAACACGGCTGACGCTGAACAAGAGGCAGTCCATCGCTTTTCTGATAATATGCCGCCAGCTCGATTTGATGCAGCAGACCGACGGGGCGATGCCTGCCAGCTGCGCCAGTTCGTCGGTGGCGAGGGCGGTACCGGCAAGTCGCGAATCATCGAGGCACTCGTCGAGCTGTTCAGTAAAAAGAGCCTTTCGAATCGTCTGCTGATCACGGCGACGTCGGGGACTGCGGCGGCGCGGATCAACGGCATCACGATCCACTCCGCCTGCGGGTTCACTAAAGACCAAGGGGCGGGGGGCGCGAACATGGTCAAAGACCTTGACGGGGTGCGGCTGCCGAAACAGGCGGAGCGGTTCATCCACGGCCAGTCTCGAATGGATTGGCAGGAGAAGGATATGCTCGTCATCGACGAGGTGAGCATGCTCGGGGCGCGGACGCTGCACGCCGTGAACGAGCGGCTTCGCCGGCTTCGCGGATCGCGGCAAGATTTCGGGGGGATCCCCATCGTCCTCTTCTGCGGAGATTTTCAGCAGTTCCGGCCGGTCCAAGAGAGGTCGATCGTCCTGCCTAGCGCGGCCATCTCGTGGGACGTAGACAACTCGTTCAAGGCCGAGCAGCGTCACCAGCACGACAAAGCGCACGCACTGTGGAAGAGGTTCACGACGGTCGTCATGCTGGACGAGCAGATGCGCGCCGCCGGCGACCCGGAGCTGCAGAGGCTGCTGAAGCGGATCCGTCTAGGCGTGCAGGATCGGACGGATCTAAACCTCCTCAACTCAAGGTGCTACCGGGAGGAAGGCGGATCCCTTGGGAGACGGGCATCACCGTGGTGACGCCGCTCAATAGGAATCGGTGGAACCTGAACATGGAGGCGAGCCTGGCGTTCCGGGTCCAGCAGCGGTCGACGATGCGCATTTTCATCTCCGAGCACAAGTGGAAGGAGGAGCTGCCGACGGAGGAAGAGGCGATCATGATACTCAACCAGGGCGACGATAGCGCGATCCCGGTGCCGGCCGTCTTCATGTTCGTGGCCGGGATGCCCATCGTGGTGAACCACAACACCCACCAGGGGCTGAAGCTAGTGAACGGCGCGAGCTACTCGGCGGTGGAGGTCATTGTCGACAAGGCGTACCCGGGGCATCGGATCTCGGCCGATATGACGATCCACTTCGGGCCGCCGGCGGGGATCATTCTCGAATCGGAGACGACGAGATATCTCCACTTCGTCGGGATGCCGCCGGGCACGATCTTGTTGACACCCATGACCGTTAAGATACAGTGCCAGCGAAAAAGGCCGTGGCAACGCAACGACGTCAGCCGAAAGGGTTTGCCGTGCGCAGCAGCGTTCGCGTGCACGGACTACAAGGTGCAGGGCAAAACGCTGGAGCGTGTGGCCCTCGAGCTGCGAGGACACGGACGACGAAGATGGATGGAACGGTGGTGCCCTCGCAGTGCGACCCGTACGGCCTGTACGTGCAGCTATCGCGCTGCCGAACTCTAGACGGCATCATGCTCGTGTCCAAGGTGCGGGACAGAGACTTGGTGGGCAACCGGGTCCCCGAGGAGATGACTGCCGCACAGGCCAGGCTCGAGGTACTGAGCGAGAGGACCGTTGAGGAGGCGTTGCGCTGGCTGGACGGTGATGCTGAAGAGTCAAGGCGGCCGCGCTAGGTGACGCGATGAAGAGTTCGGCAGGCGGGAAGAGTCGGCAGGCGGCAGACAGGGTGGGAGGCGCCTAGTGGTGGGATAAGGCACGCGAAAAGGCAACAGAAGCCGGGGGGAAGGGCAGCGACCAACGAGGAGGGAGGCAAGGAGGGACCAATCACAAGGGACCAATCAAGGGGCGGAGAACTTTTGGGGGGAGAGGGCGGGGTCTGCGGGGCACGTTAGAAGGCCTTTCGTTCCTCAAGGCAAATAGAAGGCCTTTCGTTCCTCAAGGCAAACCCTCATTATTCGGGAAACTTATGGATTGATGTAGAGTCAGCCTTCGGCTGAACAAGTACATGGGTCAATGCTGCAGGACATCCACGGGTGTCAGGAATTGGACTAAGGAAGAGATGATGGCCTACCTAGATTGGACGGAGGCAGAAGACGATCGGATCGAGGCCCAAGTAGCAGCGGAGATGGAAAGCAACCGGTGGTCTCATGGACGACGTGGTATGGATGACATCTGGGGTGCGGCCGAGAGGGATTGTGACGAGCAGCAACGGATCTGGGAGGCAGCTACGAGGGATAGTGAGTAGCACTAATCGTGTCCTTTTGACTGTATAACTTGCAATTCAGCGCTCCTTCGCATCGTTTGGTACGAGTAACGATAGCCCCGCGGCCGGATAAGCGCCGTTGTGTGAACGGAGGCTGCAGTGGGGGGCAGAGGGGCGCGGAATTATTAGTCAGCGGCCGGGCGCGGGAACGTTAAATTCGCGCCCGGGCGCGGATCTATTGGATCCCAAATGGCCTGCCAGGCTTACATAACAGGCGCGGGGGTCCGCGCCTGCCCTGTCAACGGCGAAATTGGAGGCTGAAATGTACGGATAGGAGCAAAATGTGGGGCTTCTGGGTGTTGCAGTCGAAAGTGGAGGATCTGTAAATAGCTTAGTGTCGCGGCCCTCTAGGGTTGGTCCCTCCGGGCGGAATAAATTGCATTGCATTGGCTCCCGGGGGCCAGCGACGACTCTCACCTCCACGCGGTGCTGGCTGGAAATCTGCGAATACTGTTGCCGTCGGGTATTCGCAGAGCCAAGAAGAGTCACAACCGATCAGCATTTGTCCGCTGGTTTGGGCTACGGGACGGGTTAGGGCTCCCAAGCCCTACCGCCCACAAGCCACAAGGGAACACTTTAAAACCATCCGACCCACGACCGCGACATCGAGCCTACACGAGATGAACAAACGGGTTGTGGACTAGGACACCCTTGGGGTGCCTTGGGCTGCGCCGCTGGAAGGAGAAAGCGCCGCGTTGGGGAAACGACTGGAAAGCGAAATTGCAGCAGACGAACGACAGAACCGACAGGGAACATGAAGCGAATGACAGAAAAGCACATTGAGCTCGAGGAAACGACAAGACGCATAGCGCGCTTTCAACCACACGGAGAACGACAAGGCACTTTGGTTAGTAGGAGACTGAACTCTGCGTCGCTCGGCTGTTCCGGTTACAGAAAGGACGCAGATGGACAAACTCCTGCGAGACACGGTCGGCCTTGCCAGAGAGATCTTGCAAGGCAGCGCGAAACAGATTGACAATCTGCGGGCGCAGCATACAATGGAAGCGACGGAAGACTGGGTGGGCGGACTGCAGCTACGACACTTTCTGTATGGCTCGAGAGGACGGACGCGCGTGTCGGTCGCCTTAGAGGACGGGATCTTGTAGGTGACCGTCGAGGACGAAGCCTACAAGTTGGCCGTTGAGGGAGGCTTAAGGAGCAAACTGGTATTGACTTGCGAACCGGCTGTGCCCCGTATATGGAGCGGATAAGGATCGAAGGGGATGCAAGGTAGAGGGTCTATGTAGGTAGACACGCTGCCCGCCTCTACGACATATTCTTGAATATGAATCAATACTTGACAGGCGGCAGAAAGCGACCTATGTGGCTGTGGTCAAGCAATCGAGACAGTGGAGCACTTCCTCTTTCGATGTAAGGCATGGATCTCTGAAAGAGAAAGCATGATGAAATGCAATCGAACCAAGATGGGAAATCTGTCTTTCTTCCTAGGAGGAAGTCGATGTCCGATGGCGACAAATGGAAGCCGAACCTACCAGCAGTACGCGCTACGATCAAATTCGCGATGGCAACCGGGAGACTAGACACGGACCAACGATGACAGTACTAGCAAACCAGAGTGCACAGTACTAGCACCATACAGCCTCTCATTGACAGACCGGGCTTCAGCTGCTGAGAATAGGATGCTGAACACTTGGAGAAATGGGCCTTCAAGCAAGGCCTGTCAACGGCGAAATTGGAGGCTGAAATGTACGGATAGGAGCAAAATGTGGGGCTTCTGGGTGTTGCAGTCGAAAGTGGAGGATCTGTAAATAGCTTAGTGTCGCGGCCCTCTAGGGTTGGTCCCTCCGGGCGGAATAAATTGCATTGCATTGCATTGGCTCCCGGGGCCTAAGTCCTTAGTCAACCCCGAGTACGCTCGTTCCTCGCGTAGGCTAGGCAGGGCATCGGTACGTACCCTCGCCTACGGGTAGGGGGCTGGATCGTAATTTCGCGTGCAAGGTACACACAAGCCACGGACCCCTGTAGAAACATTCAACCGTCAAAAAGTACGGAGTAGAATTTGGTCAATTCTCTACCTACTGCAAATGACGGCTAGCGAGTATCTTCACAGTTGGTTGGAATCGGTGTAAGTGAAAATGATGGTTTTTGGTGGGGCTGGGGGATGTAACATAAGGAGACTTATTGTCACGAATATCCACTTCCCGCTAGTACTCAAGCACTCAAATGCTCACTCGCCCATCGTTGAATCTCGACGGCAATAGCAGGAGCATACCGCTTATCGAGGAGAGCCATATGGCTTCCGGGGACATCAACTGTAACGTTTGCACGTGGCCACTTGGGACGCCACACGTTTGCGTCGTTGGGCATCTTGTCTGATGGGTCCAGGGCACGCACGAACAGCGTGGGTAATGCGTCAGGAAGGGGATGTAACTCCACGTCCCAGTCCAGCAGCGTCCTGAAATATCCGCCCACCTTGGCCAGTTCCAGGTCCAGATCTCCGACGAGGCTTTCGCCGCCCATGCCCTTGCGGCCACCTAAATTAGGGCCTCCGAGACGTGACACGAGGGCCTCGGCTGGTAGCGCGTTCAGCCAGTCTGGATCGCCCCTGCCCGTCATGCTGAGATACGTGTCAACCAGGACGAAGCCCGCCAGCCGAGGCTGATCGGCAGCCCTAGCCAGCCTAGAAGCCACAGCGTATGCGACAGTGCCCCCAGCAGAGTAGCCTGCGAGTATGATTCCCGGTTTGTTGGAAAAGTGCTTTTGGATTGTGCCGGCGTGCAAGTCGGCAAGCGCACCAAGATCCTCAGGGACAACCTGCCCTTCTGGGTGTGGGAGTTCGAAGACGTCCCTTCCCCCGTTCATCGCAGACGCCAGGGCACTATACACACTGAGACTAACCCCACCAATATTGATGCGTGGGAAAAATGGCGCGATAAAGACTAGTGGCAGGGACGCCTCTGCGCCGCCACCTGATGGACCGGTCGCGAGGCGTTGAGGGTCCGCCGCGTAACCTGACACGCTGGAGCCGATCTTTGGGAAAGTTGGCATTGCTAGCGCGGCCAAGGCTAGCAAATCTGCTGCAGCGGTGTACTGCTCGAGATGGGACAGCCGCCTGTGAAGGGTGGCTAACCCTCGGAATATCTGGGGGTCGACGTCGTCTTGGTCCGTAGGAGCTGGAGTACTTTCATTGGATGACATACTTCCGTTGTTTTCATTGCCATTGTCGCCAGAAGCTGATGCTTTCTCAGTGGTCGTGAAATCATCCAACTCCAAGTCGACTTCTGGCTGGGGCTGTGCTTGTAGGCGAGGTAAGAGATACTGTACCAGCGCTTGGGGGGTATCATGATCCAGCGCCAGAGTCGCAGGGAGGTTATTGAACCCGGTTAAGACCCTCAGTCTGTTGCTGAGCAAGACTGAAGTGACCGAGTCGAAGCCGAGGTCGGCAAGTACCTTATCGGGAAGCATATTTTGGCCCCGGTATCCAAGCACCTCAGCAATCTCATCTCGCACCATGCCCAGCAGAGTGTCATGGCGGCCTTCGCATGGGACCGCGGCAAGCTTGTTGCGCCATATGGCGCCTGATCTCGAACCACCTTTCGCAGATACCTTCCTGGCTTTGGATGCCGTACCGGTCGATTGCAACAGTGGAAATGGCCCGCGCAGCAGCAACGGTATAAGAACCGGCTCCGGTGGCGTCTTCGTCTGCATCTGCAGCGCCCTGCAAAACAGCTGCAGTCCTTGCTGGTCTGTAAACGGCTGAGCGTTGGCGACGCGGAGGTTGGGAACTGCCAGCTTGGCGGCCATGCCGCCATCATTCGCCCACGGGCCCCAGGCCAGTGACAAGGCGGGCAGCCCCTGTGCAACACGGAAGCGGGCCAGGGCATCAATGAAAGCATTGCCTGCGGTATAGGCCGCCTGACCTTCGTTCCCAAGTACGCCGACATACGATGAGAAGAGGACGAACGAGCGTACCGTGTCAGGGATTAGCTCGTGCAGGTTCCACGCAGCGTCGACCTTGGGACGCAGAACACGCGATACTCGTTCTGTGGTTTGTGAACCAAGGAATGAGTCATCGACCACACCTGCGCAATGGAGAACCGTAGTGATGGGTGGGTATTTGTGATGGTTTGCTAGCATTGCGGCCAGTTGGGCACGGTCGCCGACATCACATGCCTCGACACGCACTGCTGCATTTGCCCTTCTTAGCTCATCGCATAACTCACGCGCTCCCCGTGCTTCGATGCCTGACCGGCTTACTAGAAGCAGACTCTTGGCACCGTAAGTATACACAACGTCTCGGCTGAATATGGCACCGAGTCCGCCCGTACCGCCGGTGATCAAGACGGTCCCGTTGACATCGAGTGTCGTCGGGCGTTGAGTTTCTGGAATTGGAGTTTGTTTGGTTAACCTGGGAATCATGATCTTCTTACCATGTATAGCAACAATTTCCTCCCTGGTAGCGAGCGCGGACGATAGTGCCTCTTCCGACTCGGTTGTTCCATCCAAGTCGACGAGCATGATCCGGTCTCCGCCAAGCTCCGCCTGAGCAGATCGCATAAAACCCCATACAGCTGCAGCAACCACATCTATATCGGCAACGTCGCTAGCTGACGTCGCCCTCTCGGTCACGAAGACGAGGCGAAAGCCGTCAGCAGCATATGCTTTCTCAACCTTCCACTCCTGCACCACACGGAGCGCCTCGGCCACAGCTTCATGGACGGTCTTGCTGACTGCTGCTGCATCAACGTTGCGTGAGCCTTCGACCCGAACAATCTCGACAGCTGAACTAGACATTGTTGCCTGAGCATACTTAGACCGAGTCTCGGTCCATTCTAGGTGGTAGAGGTCACCTCCAGCAATAGGAGGCTGCCAGGCGCGCAGCTGAACTTCGGAAACCTTGGCGACCATTACACCCGTTGACTTGTTCGTCAGGGTTACCGAAAGGCAGTCCTCGCCTATATGACGGATGTGTGCTAGAATCGGACCAGTGGTACCAGCCGCCCCAAAGACCTGGATTCCTCGGAGAGAGAAAGGCAGTCGAATGTGGCCGCTAGCAACCTTCTCTGGCGCTGCGAGGATCGGTGTATGCAGTGTGGCATCCAACACTACTGGGTGTAGAACGAAAGCCGACGTCTGACCTTGATTCTGAGGCGGGTCAATCTGTGCTATTAGGTCGCTGTCCGATATACGCCAAATGGCACGTACGCCCTGGAAAGACGGCCCATAGCTGACGCCTGCATCATCCAGGACAGTGTATGCTTTAGAAACATCCACTTCTGAGTCTGCCTTTGTGAGATCTGTATCGTTTATGAAGGAGTCACCGCCCGCGTTGGGCTGCGATGTAAACTTGAGAGTTCCGGTGGCATGACTCCTCCACTCATGCTCTGTTGCAACACCGCCAGGGCGGGAATACACTTCGACGTGTCTTCGTATCCAGTTGCCCTTGTCCTCAAGCTGTGGCTCTCCTATGAGTACCCGAATCTGTAATTCTTCAGATTCTTCAACCTCGTCCTCTGCCAACGACAAGGCCAGCGGCACAACAACAACCATCTCATCCAGTATCAACATCAACTCAGATTCGGAATATTCTGAGCATTCATGGCCAGCTCGCATAGCTAGTTCGGCAAATACCGTGGCTGGGATGAGTGTTTGTCCACCAATAACGTGGTCACGAAGCCAGGGCTGCCTGGTCGTTGACAGGTAGCCAGAGCAGAGAATATTGCTTGTCCCCGGGATAGATGTGGCGCTAATGAGCATTGCGTGTCCCAGTCCAGAGGCACCCGCGTTTTGCGCTTGAGGCTGCGCTGCGATTGCTCCCATAGATAACACTGGCAACAGCGGAGAAAAGGGCAGCCAGAATCGTTGCCTTTGGAATGCATAGACAGGCAGGTCAACAAGATGCGTGCCACTACCCTCGAATACGGCCTGCCAGTCTACTGGTATTCCACGAGCCCAGAGCTGGCCCAGCATAATTAACAGCTTGTCAACTGTGCTGTGTGTGGCGACGGCGCCCGGCACATGTGGAGATAGGACTACAGACGGGCCGACTTCCACAAAGACCGAGACACGTTCGTTCGATTCGAGTTCGCTGACGGCATCTGCGAAACGGACTGGCTCTCGTACATGGCGGATCCAGTGATTCGAAGAGCTAAGCTGGGCTGCGTCGGCTCGCTTCCCCGTGATGGTGGAAATAAGCGGTATTGTTGTCGACACCTCTCCTTTCAGTGACGCAAGTGCTCTCTCGAGGTCAGAGAGTATTCCATCCATCATTGGGGAGTGAAAACCATATTTGACGTTCCTCAACACAGCAGCTCTCCGCCCTAAGCCGACGAACTTGTCTGCAATGGTCTTGATAGCCTCTTGAGTGCCGGATACTACGACCGAGTTCTGTGAGTTGACAGCCGCAATAACGGCTGTGCTGCCCGACCGTGACAGCTCCTCAGAGACCTCCTCCTCAGTAGCCGAGATGCTTATCATACCGCCGGTGGGACGTAAAGTGGCCATGAGGTTGGCTCGTGCGGTGACGATAGCGGCAGCGTCACGAAGAGACAGAGCACCGGCAACGTGCGCGGCGGCAATCTCCCCAAGGGAATGTCCAGCCACCACGTCTGGACGGACGTTAAACGAATCAAGGAGGCGGAACATAGCCACCTCAAAGACGAAGAGAGTGGCTTGTGCGAAGTCCGTACGGTCTAGCAGAGTACTATCACCAACAGCGTGTACTAGTGGGCGCTCCAAGTGCTGATCCACTTCGTCACAAGCTGCCTGGAATGCCTTGGAGAAGACGGGAAAGGCAGCACGTAGCTCCTCAAGTGTGCCAATGCTTGACACCCGGCTGCCCTGGCCCGAGAATAAGCATGCAAGGCGGGGTTTATTTCCGGTAGTACTCGTGTGCCCCGTCACAACGTCAGGGTGTGGTTCGCCTTGTTCAACAGCCTTGAGTGCCGTCTGGATTTGATTGTCCAAGTTGGCTCCCAAGCCGTACGATATCGTGGCTCTGTATTTGAGAGCAGATCTTGCGGTGGCAAGCGAAAAAGCAATATCGGCAGGGTCCTGGTTACGGAGGGCGCTGGGAGCTTTATCTTCTGCTTGTCCCCAGGCCGCCAGCAATGAGTGAGCCTGAGCGCGTAATGCAGCTTCGTCTGCACCAGAGATGAGCCATGGAAAGGCGTTGGAGACGTTCTTCAGTTTCGGGGCTTCTTGCTCTCCAGGATTTGGCTGCTCCAGAATGATGTGCTTCAACCTCGGAAGTCAGTAATTTCCTAAAGCGGGATGATGCGGGGTTATTACGCTGTTCGTGCCCGCAATTCCAAACGAAGACACCGCAGCTCGCCTTGGTCTATTCACAGACGGCCACGGCCTGGCCTTGCTGAGCAGCTCCACACCACTACCTTTCCAGTCGACATGCCGTGAAGGTTCACGGATATGTAATGACGCCGGAGCGACGCCATGGCGTGTAGCCTGTACCATCTTGATGATTCCTGCGACGGCTGCTGCAGCTTGCGTGTGACCGATGCTAGTGTGTGGCTCTGTGCGTTAGCCATGTAATACATGAAAGTGTCGGGCCATTGTTGCGACTTACTTGGATTTGATCGATCCAAGAAGCAGCGGTATCGAACGGCGAGTGCTTTTGTCATTACCCTCGCTATTGCCATTTCCATAGGCTGAAATCACAGCCTGAATCTCAATAGGGTCACCTATGGGTGTCGCCGTGCCATGGCCTTCAAGCACATCTACGTCTGCTGGTGATAGCCCTGACTGGGCCAGAGCACTTTGGATGCACATTTGCTGAGCAGGCCCGCTGGGTGCCGTTAGCCCATTCGATGTGCCATCAGAGTTAACAGCGGAGCCGCGGATCAAGGAGCATATTTGATGCCCGTTGCGCGTGGCGTCCGACAGCCGCTCAAGAAGGATCAGGCCTACACCCTCGGACCAGCCAGTACCAGCCGCATCACTTGAGTACGCCCGGCACCGGCCATCCGAAGACAAGCCTCGTCGTTTACTAAACATCGTGAACGGCCGCGGTGTCGCCATGGTCGTCACTCCTCCTGCAATAGCGAGCGTACACTCGCTGTTTCGTAGAGACTGGGCTGCTTGGTGAATCGCGACCAATGAGGAAGAGCACCCCGTTGAGACAGCAAGCGAGGGACCATGGAGGCCCTGTCGAAGAGGTTTTAGTTAGCGCCTTGTTTGTTCCTAGTCGTTTCAGAGGTATCTTCGACAATGAACACCCGTAGCAGGTGAACCAAGTGAACAATGGGCGATCGCCGAAAAAACAACTCTCAGGCAGAGGACATGTCATAGGAGGTTACAATTAGTAGGAGACACCTTGCCCTAATTAGGTCTAGGATATATCCTGCCGGGCTCATCTCCTGAGGTTACCACTGCAATGAAATTGTTGTAGAATACTCACAAAACAGTATGAGACACGCCCAGAGACTACGCTGCTGGATGAACCAAGTCCGAGGTGTGCTTCAACTCTATTCAGCCGCAGAGACTGGTTAGTAAATAGGCGGCATGCCGTCAAAGGTGTCTTCGAAGAGGAATAACGCACCGTGGTTGCCGAAGCCGTTGTCTTCGTAATCATCGTACAGAATACCTACAAACACGCCGGTCTGGCTACCTTGCAGCGATAACGGAGCCATACCACCTCGCTCGACCAATTCCCACGTAGTTTCCAACAACAGCCGTTGCTGGGGATCAGTGGCGAGACCTCACGGGGTGCCATGCCAAAGAGGTCAGCATCAAAGTCCGCAAAGTCAGGCAGGAAACCGCCACGCTTCGTCGTTGAGGTGCCAGGCGCGTTGGGGTCAGTGCTATACAATGCCTCAACATTCCAACCACGCTACAGTATTGGTTAGTCAATTTTTTTTAAGCAGCGGAAAATGTGAGAATCTGAAAAGAGTACTGACGTCATCTGGGAAGTCACTGGTCGCGTCAACGCCATCAGAGACTAGCTGCCACAAGTCTTCGGGCGAAGAGACGCCTCCAGGATACCGACAGGCCATAGATATGATAGCTATTGGCTCGACTTCACAATTCGAGGTTGTAGTAGATGCTGTATGGGGCGATGGTGGCATTTCCAGCTCCAACAACCGGTTGTAAAGGTACTCGCTCACTGCTGCCGGGGTAGGGTAGTCAAACACGAGAGTATTGGGAAGTTTGGCCAAGCCAGTGAGACTGGCAAGTCTGTCTCGGAGGACCACACCAGCCATCGAACTCAGGCCCAGGACCGAGAAGGGCTGGTCAAAGTGTCGACGAAGCCAGTCCGTGTTTGAGTCTCTCTCCTCGGGCCCAATGTCTACCACACATGCGCCCACCATTTCGGCGAGCACTAATGCCACGATTGAGTCTCTTGACTGCAACTTAGACCGGACAGTGAGTGGTCTACTTGTGTAAGAAGCCACAGCCAGCCTTCTCGGTTTACCTAAGAGAGTTCGAGGCACAACATCAATCTCGTAAAACGCTGGATGAGTGTCAAAAGATAAAATCACTCTGGTGAGGGAATGACAGCTACTTACCCGCGGGAACTTTATAGTCTGGCAGAGCTTCACGACATACGGCAAGCAGGGCCGATAGGTCAAGATCAGCATCGCCCTTCACAATAAAGGCAGCAGGTATCTCTCCAAGCAATCCATGTGGGATGCCGGCCACGACGACGTCGGCCACACCGGGATGCTGAAGCAGGACGCGCTCCAGCTCGTTAGGCAGGATATTTTCGCCCCCCCGGATAATTAGTTCTTTTTTCCGGCCAACTAAGGTCAACTCCGTCCTAGCTGTCGAGCTCGAGCGAATTGCTATGTCGCCAGTAGGAAACCAACCGTCTGAGGTAAAAGGCGCACGAGTCTCCTTGTAGTATTTGAGCATTAGACCGGGGCCGCGTATCCAGACCTCGCCTTGCTCGCCGTCGTTGACCTGGTTCCCGTCTAGGTCCACTAGCTGTATCTCCCAACCCGGAAGTGGTGTTCCACTCAAATGCTGGCCATATGAGTCACCCAGGTTGCCAATAGTAATAGCACCACAAGCCTCGGTACAACCGTAGTTGTTCAGAAGGGGAACACCAAACAATTCCTGGACTTGGGCACTCAGAAATGCAGGTGCCAGGGATCCAGCACAAATGCATGCCCGCAACCCAGGCAAAGACACAGATGTCGAATTTGACAACCTCGCCATATCAATGAACACATGAAATGTGGCGGGCGCTCCCACAATGATTGTTGCTTCCCGAGCCTGCCTGTCCAAGAGGCTGTTAAACGGTATCTGATCGGCGTCAGGGAGATAGGCGCTGGCACCCACGGCCACGGTGGCGATGATGCACAACGAATGGCCCAAGCAATGAAATAGGGGAAGCGGCCAAAAGAACCGGTCCCCTGGAGTCAAGCCAATTGCTGAAGCAACGCTGGTGACGTTCCACATCCAACTCTTCTGGCTCGACAACACCCCTTTGGGCAAGCTCGTTGTCCCGGAAGTGTAGTGCAGAAAGGCTTCCTCATCATCCCCGAGGTCGTCAATGTTGATATCGAAGGTCACGCACTCATCTTCGGCCCAGTCTTGATACCGCACAATCCGAAACTCTCCCTCCATGTTGACCACATCGGGACTCGCGGTGGTTATTATAATCATGCTTCCCTCTCTGGCAGCGGCGCGCACTGTCGCCAAGTGGCGGCCATCCGTGATGATCACGCCTGCGCCGCTATGCCCCAAAATTTTGGCCAGTTCTGATGCCGGTAAACGCGGATCCAAGGGCATCCCCACCGCACCTGCTCGCAGTATTGCGAGCACGGATTCGATGGCCCAGAGACATCTGCCCAGGACAATCGCTACAATGTTACCTCGCGCTATACCGGCACGCACCAGATGAATTGCTACACGCCTGGTTCGTTTTTCGAGGTCCGCGTAGGTCTTTGAGCATTTTGGGAGTCAGTCATCTTCCAATGCAGGTAACAAAATAGCACGTGAGCCAAGAGCCCCAAATCTTGTACTCATTGGGTCCACATGGCCCACGCTTTAAGGATGGGATTAAAATATCGCTGTAGAAAGACGTACTATTGCCCACCCGGACCTGAGAAGCCACCTTCTCGCGGTGCTTCTCAGCATGATGGGTTAGAATTCTTGGTATTGAGTTGAGTCGTGACATGTCTGTCTCAGTACAGAAAAGCAAGAGCGCTACGGTAGCTAGTTCAGCTGTTGACAAATTGCTGCCTTTGAAACGATTTGTGCACGAACTTTCAGTGCTGAAGATATTGACCCAAGTTCAGTATTAAATAAGAATGGTTTTGGAGTTCTGAACTTCCCCACAACCCACTGTTTCCACTCTCCATTTTCACTTTTCTCAACTCCACTATTATCCGTCTATCCATTGGTCCAAGTAGTAATGTGGCATCGGAATTGGTGCTGTATGTAAGTCGTCCAAGAATATCTCGGACCAAGAATGATATTCGAGTAGCCTTGGCTCTAGCGGCTAGTTCGGACTCAGATTTGCTATGATACAGTAGTAGGCAAGCCGGGGGTCAGTTCAGTAGTTGGTCAGTGGTGACGTGAGCAGTTACGTCAGTGCTCACGTCAGTACTCACGTCAGTACTCACGTCACATCAGTAGCGGGGTCAGTGTCAGGATAGTAGTCAATTTACCTCTGTCGCGCCTATTGTTAGACCCGCGATGGCACTTAGGAATGCACAATCGAGATTGCGAAGGTAGTCAGATCATCTTCGTCGTTAAGACCGAGGTTATGATTCAAGACCAAGACTAAGACGCGCCTATTGTTAGACCCGCGATGGCACTTAGGACATCGCAATCTCGATTGTGCATTCCTAAGTGCCATCGCGGGTCTAACAATAGGCGCGTCTTAGTCTTGGTCTTGAATCATAACCTCGGTCTTAACGACGAAGATGATCTGACTACCTTCGCAATCTCGATTGTGTGCCATCGCGGGTCTAACAATAGGCGCGTCTTAGTCTTGGTCTTGAATCATAACCTCGGTCTTAACGACGAAGATGATCTGACTACCTTCGCAATCTCGATTGTGCATTCGTGCCATCGCGGGTCTAACAATAGGCGCGTCTTAGTCTTGGTCTTGAATCATAACCTCGGTCTTAACGACGAAGATGATCTGACTACCTTCGCAATCTCGATTGTGCATTCCTAAGTGCCATCGCGGGTCTAACAATAGGCGCGTCTTAGTCTTGGTCTTGAATCATAACCTCGGTCTTAACGACGAAGATGATCTGACTACCTTCGCAATCTCGATTGTGCATTCCTAAGTGCCATCGCGGGTCTAACAATAGGCGCGTCTTAGTCTTGGTCTTGAATCATAACCTCAGTCTTAACGACGAAGATGATCTGACTACCTTCGCAATCTCGATTGTGCATTCCTAAGTGCCATCGCGGGTCTAACAATAGGCGCGTCTTAGTCTTGGTCTTGAATCATAACCTCGGTCTTAACGACGAAGATGATCTGACTACCTTCGCAATCTCGATTGTGCATTCCTAAGTGCCATCGCGGGTCTAACAATAGGCGCGTCTTAGTCTTGGTCTTGAATCATAACCTCGGTCTTAACGACGAAGATGATCTGACTACCTTCGCAATCTCGATTGTGCATTCCTAAGTGCCATCGCGGGTCTAACAATAGGCGCGACAGAGGTAAATTGACTACTATCCTGACACTGACCCCGCTACTGATGTGACGTGAGTACTGACGTGAGTACTGACGTGAGCACTGACGTAACTGCTCACGTCACCACTGACCAACTACTGAACTGACCCCCGGCTTGCCTACTACTGTATCATAGCAAATCTGAGTCCGAACTAGCCGCTAGAGCCAAGGCTACTCGAATATCATTCTTGGTCCGAGATATTCTTGGACGACTTACATACAGCACCAATTCCGATGCCACATTACTACTTGGACCAATGGATAGACGGATAATAGTGGAGTTGAGAAAAGTGAAAATGGAGAGTGGAAACAGTGGGTTGTGGGGAAGTTCAGAACTCCAAAACCATTCTTATTTAATACTGAACTTGGGTCAATATCTTCAGCACTGAAAGTTCGTGCACAAATCGTTTCAAAGGCAGCAATTTGTCAACAGCTGAACTAGCTACCGTAGCGCTCTTGCTTTTCTGTACTGAGACAGACATGTCACGACTCAACTCAATACCAAGAATTCTAACCCATCATGCTGAGAAGCACCGCGAGAAGGTGGCTTTCTCAGGTCCGGGGTGGGCAATAGTACGTCTTTCTACAGCGATATTTTAATCCCATCCTTAAAGCGTGGGCCATGTGGACCCAATGAGTACAAGATTTGGGGCTCTTGGCTCACGTGCTATTTTGTTACCTGCATTGGAAGATGACTGACTCCCAAAATGCTCAAAGACCTACGCGGACCTCGAAAAACGAACCAGGCGTGTAGCAATTCATCTGGTGCGTGCCGGTATAGCGCGAGGTAACATTGTAGCGATTGTCCTGGGCAGATGTCTCTGGGCCATCGAATCCGTGCTCGCAATACTGCGAGCAGGTGCGGTGGGGATGCCCTTGGATCCGCGTTTACCGGCATCAGAACTGGCCAAAATTTTGGGGCATAGCGGCGCAGGCGTGATCATCACGGATGGCCGCCACTTGGCGACAGTGCGCGCCGCTGCCAGAGAGGCATGATTATAATAACCACCGCGAGTCCCGATGTGGTCAACATGGAGGGAGAGTTTCGGATTGTGCGGTATCAAGACTGGGCCGAAGATGAGTGCGTGACCTTCGATATCAACATTGACGACCTCGGGGATGATGAGGAAGCCTTTCTGCACTACACTTCCGGGACAACGAGCTTGCCCAAAGGGGTGTTGTCGAGCCAGAAGAGTTGGATGTGGAACGTCACCAGCGTTGCTTCAGCAATTGGCTTGACTCCAGGGGACCGGTTCTTTTGGCCGCTTCCCCTATTTCATTGCTTGGGCCATTCGTTGTGCATCATCGCCACCGTGGCCGTGGGTGCCAGCGCCTATCTCCCTGACGCCGATCAGATACCGTTTAACAGCCTCTTGGACAGGCAGGCTCGGGAAGCAATCATTGTGGAGCGCCCGCCACATTTCATGTGTTCATTGATATGGCGAGGTTGTCAAATTCGACATCTGTGTCTTTGCCTGGGTTGCGGGCATGCATTTGTGCTGGATCCCTGGCACCTGCATTTCTGAGTGCCCAAGTCCAGGAATTGTTTGGTGTTCCCCTTCTGAACAACTACGGTTGTACCGAGGCTTGTGGTGCTATTACTATTGGCAACCTGGGTGACTCATATGGCCAGCATTTGAGTGGAACACCACTTCCGGGTTGGGAGATACAGCTAGTGGACCTAGACGGGAACCAGGTCAACGACGGCGAGCAAGGCGAGGTCTGGATACGCGGCCCCGGTCTAATGCTCAAATACTACAAGGAGACTCGTGCGCCTTTTACCTCAGACGGTTGGTTTCCTACTGGCGACATAGCAATTCGCTCGAGCTCGACAGCTAGGACGGAGTTGACCTTAGTTGGCCGGAAAAAAGAACTAATTATCCGGGGGGGCGAAAATATCCTGCCTAACGAGCTGGAGCGCGTCCTGCTTCAGCATCCCGGTGTGGCCGACGTCGTCGTGGCCGGCATCCCACATGGATTGCTTGGAGAGATACCTGCTGCCTTTATTGTGAAGGGCGATGCTGATCTTGACCTATCGGCCCTGCTTGCCGTATGTCGTGAAGCTCTGCCAGACTATAAAGTTCCCGCGGGTAAGTAGCTGTCATTCCCTCACCAGAGTGATTTTATCTTTTGACACTCATCCAGCGTTTTACGAGATTGATGTTGTGCCTCGAACTCTCTTAGGTAAACCGAGAAGGCTGGCTGTGGCTTCTTACACAAGTAGACCACTCACTGTCCGGTCTAAGTTGCAGTCAAGAGACTCAATCGTGGCATTAGTGCTCGCCGAAATGGTGGGCGCATGTGTGGTAGACATTGGGCCCGAGGAGAGAGACTCAAACACGGACTGGCTTCGTCGACACTTTGACCAGCCCTTCTCGGTCCTGGGCCTGAGTTCGATGGCTGGTGTGGTCCTCCGAGACAGACTTGCCAGTCTCACTGGCTTGGCCAAACTTCCCAATACTCTCGTGTTTGACTACCCTACCCCGGCAGCAGTGAGCGAGTACCTTTACAACCGGTTGTTGGAGCTGGAAATGCCACCATCGCCCCATACAGCATCTACTACAACCTCGAATTGTGAAGTCGAGCCAATAGCTATCATATCTATGGCCTGTCGGTATCCTGGAGGCGTCTCTTCGCCCGAAGACTTGTGGCAGCTAGTCTCTGATGGCGTTGACGCGACCAGTGACTTCCCAGATGACGTCAGTACTCTTTCAGATTCTCACATTTTCCGCTGCTTAAAAAAAATTGACTAACCAATACTGTAGCGTGGTTGGAATGTTGAGGCATTGTATAGCACTGACCCCAACGCGCCTGGCACCTCAACGACGAAGCGTGGCGGTTTCCTGCCTGACTTTGCGGACTTTGATGCTGACCTCTTTGGCATGGCACCCCGTGAGGCTCTCGCCACTGATCCCCAGCAACGGCTGTTGTTGGAAACTACGTGGGAATTGGTCGAGCGAGGTGGTATGGCTCCGTTATCGCTGCAAGGTAGCCAGACCGGCGTGTTTGTAGGTATTCTGTACGATGATTACGAAGACAACGGCTTCGGCAACCACGGTGCGTTATTCCTCTTCGAAGACACCTTTGACGGCATGCCGCCTATTTACTAACCAGTCTCTGCGGCTGAATAGAGTTGGAAGCACACCTCGGACTTGGTTCATCCAGCAGCGTAGTCTCTGGGCGTGTCTCATACTGTTTTGTGAGTATTCTACAACAATTTCATTGCAGTGGTAACCTCAGGAGATGAGCCCGGCAGGATATATCCTAGACCTAATTAGGGCAAGGTGTCTCCTACTAATTGTAACCTCCTATGACATGTCCTCTGCCTGAGAGTTGTTTTTTTCGGCGATCGCCCATTGTTCACTTGGTTCACCTGCTACGGGTGTTCATTGTCGAAGATACCTCTGAAACGACTAGGAACAAACAAGGCGCTAACTAAAACCTCTTCGACAGGGCCTCCATGGTCCCTCGCTTGCTGTCTCAACGGGGTGCTCTTCCTCATTGGTCGCGATTCACCAAGCAGCCCAGTCTCTACGAAACAGCGAGTGTACGCTCGCTATTGCAGGAGGAGTGACGACCATGGCGACACCGCGGCCGTTCACGATGTTTAGTAAACGACGAGGCTTGTCTTCGGATGGCCGGTGCCGGGCGTACTCAAGTGATGCGGCTGGTACTGGCTGGTCCGAGGGTGTAGGCCTGATCCTTCTTGAGCGGCTGTCGGACGCCACGCGCAACGGGCATCAAATATGCTCCTTGATCCGCGGCTCCGCTGTTAACTCTGATGGCACATCGAATGGGCTAACGGCACCCAGCGGGCCTGCTCAGCAAATGTGCATCCAAAGTGCTCTGGCCCAGTCAGGCTATCACCAGCAGACGTAGATGTGCTTGAAGGCCATGGCACGGCGACACCCATAGGTGACCCTATTGAGATTCAGGCTGTGATTTCAGCCTATGGAAATGGCAATAGCGAGGGTAATGACAAAAGCACTCGCCGTTCGATACCGCTGCTTCTTGGATCGATCAAATCCAAGTAAGTCGCAACAATGGCCCGACACTTTCATGTATTACATGGCTAACGCACAGAGCCACACTAGCATCGGTCACACGCAAGCTGCAGCAGCCGTCGCAGGAATCATCAAGATGGTACAGGCTACACGCCATGGCGTCGCTCCGGCGTCATTACATATCCGTGAACCTTCACGGCATGTCGACTGGAAAGGTAGTGGTGTGGAGCTGCTCAGCAAGGCCAGGCCGTCCGTCTGTGAATAGACCAAGGCGAGCTGCGGTGTCTTCGTTTGGAATTGCGGGCACGAACAGCGTAATAACCCCGCATCATCCCGCTTTAGGAAATTACTGACTTCCGAGGTTGAAGCACATCATTCTGGAGCAGCCAAATCCTGGAGAGCAAGAAGCCCCGAAACTGAAGAACGTCTCCAACGCCTTTCCATGGCTCATCTCTGGTGCAGACGAAGCTGCATTACGCGCTCAGGCTCACTCATTGCTGGCGGCCTGGGGACAAGCAGAAGATAAAGCTCCCAGCGCCCTCCGTAACCAGGACCCTGCCGATATTGCTTTTTCGCTTGCCACCGCAAGATCTGCTCTCAAATACAGAGCCACGATATCGTACGGCAGGGAGCCAACTTGGACAATCAAATCCAGACGGCACTCAAGGCTGTTGAACAAGGCGAACCACACCCTGACGTTGTGACGGGGCACACGAGTACTACCGGAAATAAACCCCGCCTTGCATGCTTATTCTCGGGCCAGGGCAGCCGGGTGTCAAGCATTGGCACACTTGAGGAGCTACGTGCTGCCTTTCCCGTCTTCTCCAAGGCATTCCAGGCAGCTTGTGACGAAGTGGATCAGCACTTGGAGCGCCCACTAGTACACGCTGTTGGTGATAGTACTCTGCTAGACCGTACGGACTTCGCACAAGCCACTCTCTTCGTCTTTGAGGTGGCTATGTTCCGCCTCCTTGATTCGTTTAACGTCCGTCCAGACGTGGTGGCTGGACATTCCCTTGGGGAGATTGCCGCCGCGCACGTTGCCGGTGCTCTGTCTCTTCGTGACGCTGCCGCTATCGTCACCGCACGAGCCAACCTCATGGCCACTTTACGTCCCACCGGCGGTATGATAAGCATCTCGGCTACTGAGGAGGAGGTCTCTGAGGAGCTGTCACGGTCGGGCAGCACAGCCGTTATTGCGGCTGTCAACTCACAGAACTCGGTCGTAGTATCCGGCACTCAAGAGGCTATCAAGACCATTGCAGACAAGTTCGTCGGCTTAGGCGGAGAGCTGCTGTGTTGAGGAACGTCAAATATGGTTTTCACTCCCCAATGATGGATGGAATACTCTCTGACCTCGAGAGAGCACTTGCGTCACTGAAAGGAGAGGTGTCGACAACAATACCGCTTATTTCCACCATCACGGGGAAGCGAGCCGACGCAGCCCAGCTTAGCTCTTCGAATCACTGGATCCGCCATGTACGAGAGCCAGTCCGTTTCGCAGATGCCGTCAGCGAACTCGAATCGAACGAACGTGTCTCGGTCTTTGTGGAAGTCGGCCCGTCTGTAGTCCTATCTCCACATGTGCCGGGCGCCGTCGCCACACACAGCACAGTTGACAAGCTGTTAATTATGCTGGGCCAGCTCTGGGCTCGTGGAATACCAGTAGACTGGCAGGCCGTATTCGAGGGTAGTGGCACGCATCTTGTTGACCTGCCTGTCTATGCATTCCAAAGGCAACGATTCTGGCTGCCCTTTTCTCCGCTGTTGCCAGTGTTATCTATGGGAGCAATCGCAGCGCAGCCTCAAGCGCAAAACGCGGGTGCCTCTGGACTGGGACACGCAATGCTCATTAGCGCCACATCTATCCCGGGGACAAGCAATATTCTCTGCTCTGGCTACCTGTCAACGACCAGGCAGCCCTGGCTTCGTGACCACGTTATTGGTGGACAAACACTCATCCCAGCCACGGTATTTGCCGAACTAGCTATGCGAGCTGGCCATGAATGCTCAGAATATTCCGAATCTGAGTTGATGTTGATACTGGATGAGATGGTTGTTGTTGTGCCGCTGGCCTTGTCGTTGGCAGAGGACGAGGTTGAAGAATCTGAAGAATTACAGATTCGGGTACTCATGGAGAGCCACAGCTTGAGGACAAGGGCAACTGGATACGAAGACACGTCGAAGTGTATTCCCGCCCTGGCGGTGTTGCAACAGAGCATGAGTGGAGGAGTCATGCCACCGGAACTCTCAAGTTTACATCGCAGCCCAACGCGGGCGGTGACTCCTTCATAAACGATACAGATCTCACAAAGGCAGACTCAGAAGTGGATGTTTCTAAAGCATACACTGTCCTGGATGATGCAGGCGTCAGCTATGGGCCGTCTTTCCAGGGCGTACGTGCCATTTGGCGTATATCGGACAGCGACCTAATAGCACAGATTGACCCGCCTCAGAATCAAGGTCAGACGTCGGCTTTCGTTCTACACCCAGTAGTGTTGGATGCCACACTGCATACACCGATCCTCGCAGCGCCAGAGAAGGTTGCTAGCGGCCACATTCGACTGCCTTTCTCTCTCCGAGGAATCCAGGTCTTTGGGGCGGCTGGTACCACTGGTCCGATTCTAGCACACATCCGTCATATAGGCGAGGACTGCCTTTCGGTAACCCTGACGAACAAGTCAACGGGTGTAATGGTCGCCAAGGTTTCCGAAGTTCAGCTGCGCGCCTGGCAGCCTCCTATTGCTGGAGGTGACCTCTACCACCTAGAATGGACCGAGACTCGGTCTAAGTATGCTCAGGCAACAATGTCTAGTTCAGCTGTCGAGATTGTTCGGGTCGAAGGCTCACGCAACGTTGATGCAGCAGCAGTCAGCAAGACCGTCCATGAAGCTGTGGCCGAGGCGCTCCGTGTGGTGCAGGAGTGGAAGGTTGAGAAAGCATATGCTGCTGACGGCTTTCGCCTCGTCTTCGTGACCGAGAGGGCGACGTCAGCTAGCGACGTTGCCGATATAGATGTGGTTGCTGCAGCTGTATGGGGTTTTATGCGATCTGCTCAGGCGGAGCTTGGCGGAGACCGGATCATGCTCGTCGACTTGGATGGAACAACCGAGTCGGAAGAGGCACTATCGTCCGCGCTCGCTACCAGGAGGAAATTGTTGCTATACATGGTAAGAAGATCATGATTCCCAGGTTAACCAAACAAACTCCAATTCCAGAAACTCAACGCCCGACGACACTCGATGTCAACGGGACCGTCTTGATCACCGGCGGTACGGGCGGACTCGGTGCCATATTCAGCCGAGACGTTGTGTATACTTACGGTGCCAAGAGTCTGCTTCTAGTAAGCCGGTCAGGCATCGAAGCACGGGGAGCGCGTGAGTTATGCGATGAGCTAAGAAGGGCAAATGCAGCAGTGCGTGTCGAGGCATGTGATGTCGGCGACCGTGCCCAACTGGCCGCAATGCTAGCAAACCATCACAAATACCCACCCATCACTACGGTTCTCCATTGCGCAGGTGTGGTCGATGACTCATTCCTTGGTTCACAAACCACAGAACGAGTATCGCGTGTTCTGCGTCCCAAGGTCGACGCTGCGTGGAACCTGCACGAGCTAATCCCTGACACGGTACGCTCGTTCGTCCTCTTCTCATCGTATGTCGGCGTACTTGGGAACGAAGGTCAGGCGGCCTATACCGCAGGCAATGCTTTCATTGATGCCCTGGCCCGCTTCCGTGTTGCACAGGGGCTGCCCGCCTTGTCACTGGCCTGGGGCCCGTGGGCGAATGATGGCGGCATGGCCGCCAAGCTGGCAGTTCCCAACCTCCGCGTCGCCAACGCTCAGCCGTTTACAGACCAGCAAGGACTGCAGCTGTTTTGCAGGGCGCTGCAGATGCAGACGAAGACGCCACCGGAGCCGGTTCTTATACCGTTGCTGCTGCGCGGGCCATTTCCACTGTTGCAATCGACCGGTACGGCATCCAAAGCCAGGAAGGTATCTGCGAAAGGTGGTTCGAGATCAGGCGCCATATGGCGCAACAAGCTTGCCGCGGTCCCATGCGAAGGCCGCCATGACACTCTGCTGGGCATGGTGCGAGATGAGATTGCTGAGGTGCTTGGATACCGGGGCCAAAATATGCTTCCCGATAAGGTACTTGCCGACCTCGGCTTCGACTCGGTCACTTCAGTCTTGCTCAGCAACAGACTGAGGGTCTTAACCGGGTTCAATAACCTCCCTGCGACTCTGGCGCTGGATCATGATACCCCCCAAGCGCTGGTACAGTATCTCTTACCTCGCCTACAAGCACAGCCCCAGCCAGAAGTCGACTTGGAGTTGGATGATTTCACGACCACTGAGAAAGCATCAGCTTCTGGCGACAATGGCAATGAAAACAACGGAAGTATGTCATCCAATGAAAGTACTCCAGCTCCTACGGACCAAGACGACGTCGACCCCCAGATATTCCGAGGGTTAGCCACCCTTCACAGGCGGCTGTCCCATCTCGAGCAGTACACCGCTGCAGCAGATTTGCTAGCCTTGGCCGCGCTAGCAATGCCAACTTTCCCAAAGATCGGCTCCAGCGTGTCAGGTTACGCGGCGGACCTCAACGCCTCGCGACCGGTCCATCAGGTGGCGGCGCAGAGGCGTCCCTGCCACTAGTCTTTATCGCGCCATTTTTCCCACGCATCAATATTGGTGGGGTTAGTCTCAGTGTGTATAGTGCCCTGGCGTCTGCGATGAACGGGGGAAGGGACGTCTTCGAACTCCCACACCCAGAAGGGCAGGTTGTCCCTGAGGATCTTGGTGCGCTTGCCGACTTGCACGCCGGCACAATCCAAAAGCACTTTTCCAACAAACCGGGAATCATACTCGCAGGCTACTCTGCTGGGGGCACTGTCGCATACGCTGTGGCTTCTAGGCTGGCTAGGGCTGCCGATCAGCCTCGGCTGGCGGGCTTCGTCCTGGTTGACACGTATCTCAGCATGACGGGCAGGGGCGATCCAGACTGGCTGAACGCGCTACCAGCCGAGGCCCTCGTGTCACGTCTCGGAGGCCCTAATTTAGGTGGCCGCAAGGGCATGGGCGGCGAAAGCCTCGTCGGAGATCTGGACCTGGAACTGGCCAAGGTGGGCGGATATTTCAGGACGCTGCTGGACTGGGACGTGGAGTTACATCCCCTTCCTGACGCATTACCCACGCTGTTCGTGCGTGCCCTGGACCCATCAGACAAGATGCCCAACGACGCAAACGTGTGGCGTCCCGGCCACGTGCAAACGTTACAGTTGATGTCCCCGGAAGCCATATGGCTCTCCTCGATAAGCGGTATGCTCCTGCTATTGCCGTCGAGATTCAACGATGGGCGAGTGAGCATTTGAGTGCTTGAGTACTAGCGGGAAGTGGATATTCGTGACAATAAGTCTCCTTATGTTACATCCCCCAGCCCCACCAAAAACCATCATTTTCACTTACACCGATTCCAACCAACTGTGAAGATACTCGCTAGCCGTCATTTGCAGTAGGTAGAGAATTGACCAAATTCTACTCCGTACTTTTTGACGGTTGAATGTTTCTACAGGGGTCCGTGGCTTGTGTGTACCTTGCACGCGAAATTACGATCCAGCCCCCTACCCGTAGGCGAGGGTACGTACCGATGCCCTGCCTAGCCTACGCGAGGAACGAGCGTACTCGGGGGGTTGACTAAGGGACTTAGGCCCCCCGGGAGCCAATGCAATGCAATGCAATTTATTCCGCCCGGAGGGACCAACCCTAGAGGGCCGCGACACTAAGCTATTTACAGATCCTCCACTTTCGACTGCAACACCCAGAAGCCCCACATTTTGCTCCTATCCGTACATTTCAGCCTCCAATTTCGCCGTTGACAGGCCTTGCTTGAAGGCCCATTTCTCCAAGTGTTCAGCATCCTATTCTCAGCAGCTGAAGCCCGGTCTGTCAATGAGAGGCTGTATGGTGCTAGTACTGTGCACTCTGGTTTGCTAGTACTGTCATCGTTGGTCCGTGTCTAGTCTCCCGGTTGCCATCGCGAATTTGATCGTAGCGCGTACTGCTGGTAGGTTCGGCTTCCATTTGTCGCCATCGGACATCGACTTCCTCCTAGGAAGAAAGACAGATTTCCATCTTGGTTCGATTGCATTTCATCATGCTTTCTCTTCAGAGATCCATGCCTTACATCGAAAGAGGAAGTGCTCCACTGTCTCGATTGCTTGACCACAGCCACATAGGTCGCTTTCTGTCAAGTATTGATTCATATTCAAGAATATGTCGTAGAGGCGGGCAGCGTGTCTACCTACATAGACCCTCTACCTTGCATCCTTCGATCCTTATCCGCTCCATATACGGGGCACAGCCGGTTCGCAAGTCAATACCAGTTTGCTCCTTAAGCCTCAACGGCCAACTTGTAGGCTTCGTCCTCGACGGTCACCTACAAGATCCCGTCCTCTAAGGCGACCGACACGCGCGTCCGTCCTCTCGAGCCATACAGAAAGTGTCGTAGCTGCAGTCCGCCCACCCAGTCTTCCGTCGCTTCCATTGTATGCTGCGCCCCGCAGATTGTCAATCTGTTTCGCGCTGCCTTGCAAGATCTCTCTGGCAAGGCCGACCGTGTCTCGCAGGAGTTTGTCCATCTGCGTCCTTTCTGTAACCGGAACAGCCGAGCGACGCAGAGTTCAGTCTCCTACTAACCAAAGTGCCTTGTCGTTCTCCGTGTGGTTGAAAGCGCGCTATGCGTCTTGTGTCCTCGAGCTCAATGTGCTTTTCTGTCATTCGCTTCATGTTCCCTGTCGGTTCTGTCGTTCGTCTGCTGCAATTTCGCTTTCCAGTCGTTTCCAACGCGGCGCTTTCTCCTTCCAGCGGCGCAGCCCCAAAGGGTGTCCTAGTCCACAACCCGTTTGTTCATCTCGTGTAGGCTCGATGTCGCGGTCGTGGGTCGGATGGTTTTTAAGTGTTCCTTGTGGCTTGTGGGCGGTAGGGCTTGGGAGCCCTAACCCGTCCTAGCCCAAACCAGCGGACAAATGCTGATCGGTTGTGACTCTTCTTGGCTCTGCGAATACCCGACGGCAACAGTATTCGCAGATTTCCAGCCAGCACCGCGTGGAGGTGAGAGTCGTCGCTGGCCCCGGGAGCCAATGCAATGCAATTTATTCCGCCCGGAGGGACCAACCAGAGGGCCGCGACACTAAGCTATTTACAGATCCTCCACTTTCGACTGCAACACCCAGAAGCCCCACATTTTGCTCCTATCCGTACATTTCAGCCTCCAATTTCGCCGTTGACAGGGCAGGCGCGGACCCCCGCGCCTGTTATGTAAGCCTGGCAGGCCATTTGGGATCCAATAACGTAATCCACCCCCTTCCCGGTCAGACCCCCTACTCGGTCAGAAAAAGTCTCCACGCGGCGACCCACACTTATGGCAAGACAAACCGAGCACTATGACGGCAACGGGAGACCAATCGGTTCCACGCGAAGAACGGGTCCTGCTCGCCGTCAGGGCCTATCAGCAGGGCCAATTCAAAAGTACCCGCAAGGCTGCGGCCGCATACGACGTCCCTCAATCGACAGTATCTGATCGACTGCGCGGTGTCATTCGCCGACGCGACGCTCAGATGAACAACCTGAAGTTGACGGCGACGGAAGAGACTGCCCTGGTACAATGGATCTTGTCGATGGACGAGCGAGGGATGCCGCCGACAGTGGCTTACACTCGTCGGATGGCCAACTTATTGCTTTCCGAGCGAGGCAAAGATCCTGTCGGGAAAACTGGGTGCGGAAGTTTGTTGGCCGCCACGGCGAAATCAAGGCAAAGTACTCTCGCCGATACGACTACCAACGAGCCAAATGCGAAGACCCCCAAAAGATCCAAGGATGGTACGATCGAGTCGCGGCGACGAAACAGAAATGGGGATTCTTGACGAGGATGTCTATAACTTTGATGAGACGGGGTTTCAAATGGAGTCGCTGCAACGGCGAGAGTCCTTACCCGGTCTGACCGGCGAGGTCGGGCAGTACTCACGCAGCCTGGAAATCGAGAATGGGTTACTGTGATCGAGTCTATCAACTGCCAAGGTTGGGCTTTACCGGCGAAGGTTATCTTCCAGGGCAAGTTACACCAAGCAAGCTGGTACGAATCAGGAGTGCCCGATGACTGGCATATCGCCGTTAGTGAGAATGGCTGGACTTCCGACGACCTTGCTTTGAATTGGTTAAAGGAAGTCTTTGATCCGAATACACGGCGCCGTACGGTTGGTACGCATCGACTTCTATTCTCGACGGGCACGGCAGTCACGTCACGCCGGAATTTGACAAGTACTGTACGGCCAATTCCATCGTAGTACTCAAATGCCTGCACATTCCTCACATCTCTTGCAGCCTCTTGATGTCGGGTGCTTTTCGCCGTTGAAAACCATATACGGCCGAAAGGTTCAAGAGAAAATGCTCGCTGGGATCCATCATATCGACAAGCAGGACTTCCTTCCCATGTACTTAGACGCTCGCCGACAAGCACTTTCGCCGTCGAATATCCGAAGCGGATTTATGGCAACAGGCCTTTTTCCGTTTGACCCAAACAGAGTATTATCGCGGTTACAAGTTCAGGTTGACAAAGTCGGTAACGATCACGGCGACAAGAATACCAAGTCCCAACAAGAGCCTGGAAGCAGCCAAGACTCCGCATAACGTCAACCAGCTTACCACTCACGCCGAAAGGCTTCTTCAACGCCGGCCACAAAATACAGACTCGCCAGTTTCACAAGCTATCAACCAGCTTATCAAAGGATGTCAAATGGCCATGCACAGCGCCGCCCTCCTTGCCGACGAAAACCGGCAACTTCGGTCAGAAAACCAGCGGCGAAAGCAGAGAAAGAACAGCGCCGTGAATACATTGGCGACGGCGGTACTCTATCGGTTGCAGAGGGCACGGTTAGGATAAAGCAACGGAGAAGAAGAAGAAGAGCGGGTTAAGCGACGGAGTGGAAGAAGAGGAGAGACTAAGCGCCGGCGAGAGAAGGACGAGGAGCGGGCCAAGCGACGACAAGAAGGAGAAGAGCGGGCCGAGCGACGGCGACAAGAGAACGAGGAATGGTTCAAGCTACGGCGAGAAAAGGAAGAGGAGCGGGTCAAGAAACAGAGAGCAAAGGAAGATGAGCGGGCCAAGCGACGGCGGGAAGAAGGAGCGGGACCAACGACTTATAGAAGAGCTGAGTGTCCCAAGACAGCGTGCACCACCACGGTGTAGTAAGTGCAGGTCTTTGAACACACTGCCCGTACGTGTAATAGATAGTCCTAATCGAGTTACTTGTCTCTTGGAGTAAATATGTCGTGGTATTGTGCTCCGTTTGTCTCGCGTAAGGTGCGGGTCTAGTCGGTGGGGAATTTTTGACCGAGTAGGGGGTCTGACCGGGAAGGGGGTGGATTACGTTAGATCCGCGCCCGGGCGCGAATTTAACGTTCCCGCGCCCGGCCGCTGACTAATAATTCCGCGCCCCTCTGCCCCCCACTGCAGCCTCCGTTCACACAACGGCGCTTATCCGGCCGCGGGGCTATCGTTACTCGTACCAAACGATGCGAAGGAGCGCTGAATTGCAAGTTATACAGTCAAAAGGACACGATTAGTGCTACTCACTATCCTCGTAGCTGCCTCCCAGATCCGTTGCTGCTCGTCACAATCCTCTCGGCCGCACCCCAGATGTCATCCATACCACGTCGTCCATGAGACCACCGGTTGCTTTCCATCTCCGCTGCTACTTGGGCCTCGATCCGATCGTCTTCTGCCTCCGTCCAATCTAGGTAGGCCATCATCTCTTCCTTAGTCCAATTCCTGACACCCGTGGATGTCCTGCAGCATTGACCCATGTACTTGTTCAGCCGAAGGCTGACTCTACATCAATCCATAAGTTTCCCGAATAATGAGGGTTTGCCTTGAGGAACGAAAGGCCTTTGCCTTTGCCTTGAGGAACGAAAGGCCTTCTAACGTGCCCCGCAGACCCCGCCCTCTCCCCCCAAAAGTTCTCCGCCCCTTGATTGGTCCCTTGTGATTGGTCCCTCCTTGCCTCCCTCCTTGTTGGTCGCTGCCCTTCCCGGCTTCTGTTGCCTTTTCGCGTGCCTTATCCCACCACTAGGCGCCTCCCACCCTGTCTGCCGCCTGCCGACTCTTCCCGCCTGCCGAACTCTTCATCGCGTCACCTAGCGCGGCCGCCTTGACTCTTCAGCATCACCGTCCAGCCAGCGCAACGCCTCCTCAACGGTCCTCTCGCTCAGTACCTCGAGCCTGGCCTGTGCGGCAGTCATCTCCTCGGGGACCCGGTTGCCCACCAAGTCTCTGTCCCGCACCTTGGACACGAGCATGATGCCGTCTAGAGTTCGGCAGCGCGATAGCTGCACGTACAGGCCGTACGGGTCGCACTGCGAGGGCACCACCGTTCCATCCATCTTCGTCGTCCGTGTCCCTCGCAGCTCGAGGGCCACACGCTCCAGCGTTTTGCCCTGCACCTTGTAGTCCGTGCACGCGAACGCTGCTGCGCACGGCAAACCCTTTCGGCTGACGTCGTTGCGTTGCCACGGCCTTTTTCGCTGGCACTGTATCTTAACGGTCATGGGTGTCAACAAGATCGTGCCCGGCGGCATCCCGACGAAGTGGAGATATCTCGTCGTCTCCGATTCGAGAATGATCCCCGCCGGCGGCCCGAAGTGGATCGTCATATCGGCCGAGATCCGATGCCCCGGTACGCCTTGTCGACAATGACCTCCACCGCCGAGTAGCTCGCGCCGTTCACTAGCTTCAGCCCCTGGTGGGTGTTGTGGTTCACCACGATGGGCATCCCGGCCACGAACATGAAGACGGCCGGCACCGGGATCGCGCTATCGTCGCCCTGGTTGAGTATCATGATCGCCTCTTCCTCCGTCGGCAGCTCCTCCTTCCACTTGTGCTCGGAGATGAAAATGCGCATCGTCGACCGCTGCTGGACCCGGAACGCCAGGCTCGCCTCCATGTTCAGGTTCCACCGATTCCTATTGAGCGGCGTCACCACGGTGATGCCCGTCTCCCAAGGGATCCGCCTTCCTCCCGGTAGCACCTTGAGTTGAGGAGGTTTAGATCCGTCCGATCCTGCACGCCTAGACGGATCCGCTTCAGCAGCCTCTGCAGCTCCGGGTCGCCGGCGGCGCGCATCTGCTCGTCCAGCATGACGACCGTCGTGAACCTCTTCCACAGTGCGTGCGCTTTGTCGTGCTGGTGACGCTGCTCGGCCTTGAACGAGTTGTCTACGTCCCACGAGATGGCCGCGCTAGGCAGGACGATCGACCTCTCTTGGACCGGCCGGAACTGCTGAAAATCTCCGCAGAAGAGGACGATGGGGATCCCCCCGAAATCTTGCCGCGATCCGCGAAGCCGGCGAAGCCGCTCGTTCACGGCGTGCAGCGTCCGCGCCCCGAGCATGCTCACCTCGTCGATGACGAGCATATCCTTCTCCTGCCAATCCATTCGAGACTGGCCGTGGATGAACCGCTCCGCCTGTTTCGGCAGCCGCACCCCGTCAAGGTCTTTGACCATGTTCGCGCCCCCCGCCCCTTGGTCTTTAGTGAACCCGCAGGCGGAGTGGATCGTGATGCCGTTGATCCGCGCCGCCGCAGTCCCCGACGTCGCCGTGATCAGCAGACGATTCGAAAGGCTCTTTTTACTGAACAGCTCGACGAGTGCCTCGATGATTCGCGACTTGCCGGTACCGCCCTCGCCACCGACGAACTGGCGCAGCTGGCAGGCATCGCCCCGTCGGTCTGCTGCATCAAATCGAGCTGGCGGCATATTATCAGAAAAGCGATGGACTGCCTCTTGTTCAGCGTCAGCCGTGTTGCCAACACCTTGCCCGCCGCGAGGAAGGAGGTTGATGGGCCAAACTGAACGTCCATTCCCGCCCCTGCGTCGATAGCGGTCTCGTCGGAGTCGGCCATCGTCATTTCGACCTCGTCCTCCCGAAACCGGTCATCACCCTTCGCAACGCTGCGCGGCGATCGCTTTCCCAGGCGGCGGGCGTGCTTTGTATCCCTTGGATCATCCTCTCCTCTCCTTCGAGGCACTTACCTGCTGCGACTTGATAGCCTTGACCTGATCCTGCGGCGGTAGTGCGGCCCCGGAAAATACCCGCCCTGGCATGCTTAACCGCCTCTCCCTCGTTCGATCAGCGCCGTGGCCTCGAGCTCGGCCGTCGAGCGCAGCGCCGATTGCTGAAACCGACAGAGCTGCTGTATCATTGCCATGAGCTCCGGCGACTTGGCCGTCACCTGATTCGCTCCCACTGCACCTCGGACGACGTCGATGAGCCGCGTTGCGTCTCCGATGCTGTTGGGCTGATATGTCGCTGCAGACTCCGCGCCCGCCTCGCCTGCTCCACCCTCCTCGACGTGTGCGACCGTCGGGTCGCCATCGCCGGACGAGGCTGCCCATTGCTTGGCGTCGCGTTTTGCGTCTTCGGCGGATCGTCGAAGCAGCTGCACGTTGTCGACGAGACATGATATTCTCGGGGCCATAGCGTCTCGAGCCCGCGCCCAGATGCTGTTGATCTCACCTGTTCCTTCGCCCAGGAAGGACTCCCACGGCACGAACAGCGCAAGATGCTGCACGGCTGCCCTTCAGGGGGTGGGTTAGCCTCTCCGATAATGCCCGCTGACAGAGCAGTTGCCATACACACCTCCGGTAGCACGACTCGTCATCGTAGGTGAAGTCCTTGCTCAGGTAGCCGTCGAGGCAGACGGTAGCGTGCTTGCCCGGCCGCCTGAGCACCTGAACCCAGCGTCGTCCCGGCGCCCATCCATCCTCGAAAGACATCTCCCTGCCGCCCAGCTCTCGTCGTTGCCGATGCGTTTCAGTCTGACGATCGATATGTAGTCATACAGGCATAGGCCTTTCAGCAGCTCTCCCGGTGCTGGTACGCCTCGACGTGGGAGATTCTCAGGCCTTCTTCTTCGACGACGACCGACTCATCCAAGGTGTCATCCATAGCCGCAGCGCCACTGGCTTCTCGGAGATGCCGCCATCGCCGAAAGACTTCCCAGTACAGCAGAGAACAGTTCAGGTACGCCCACGCGCTGCTGTCGGTGAACTCGGCCGGATATCCGAGAAGGTGAGCGACGACCTCGACCTGTGATAGCGGACGCTCCGTGAACACGCGGTTCGCCACTCTCATCAGGAACTGTCGCGTCCTGTTCCCTTGACAGGGTCATCGGTGGCAGCGTCTCCGCCACCGTCCCGCCCTCCGTTGGCCGTGCCATCACCTGTTGAGGCGGCCAGGAGCTCGGCCGCGGCCGCCACACGCTTCCACACCGGGTCCTCCACCTTGGTCGCGTAGTTCGTGACATAATAGATGAGGGCCATTGTCTTGCGCTGCGTCGCAATGAAGGAAATATCATGGTTGTGCCGGAGCCCGACAGCAATAGCCTCGTTCCATCGATTGACCATGCTGTGTGTCCTCCGGATCTGCAGCACCCCGTCTGCCGTGAGGGCGGTCTTGTCGACTAACCTCCATGGCGCCTTGAACCGGCAGAGGTCCCCTTCCGCCCTCCTTTGCCCAAGGAATACTTCACACAGGTCGGGCTATGCGTGTGCACCTGCGTCGCGCCGGCACAGAAGTTGGCCTCCTCGATAAACGCGGCCGAGAACTGCGCGGCGTTGTCCAGCAGGGAACCAATACCGCCCGTCACAGATCGCTCCGCTTGCACGGCGCAAAAACTTTCCTGGTCCAGATCCTGCCTTGCACGTCAACCCGGCCCCACTTGGCCATCAGAAGAGTACTTCAGGCTCCCGGTGGCACATCTTAGGTAGGCATTCTTACCTCTGAGAAGACGCTATCGATGTATCGGACGATTCGCTCGCGATACGCCGCCTGATCCTCCCCGTGGATGTCGGCAAGCATCGAGCTGAGATGCGCGTTCCCGTGCAGCCAGAGCAAGCCGTGAACATGAAGCGCCCTCGTTCGTTCGTCTCCACGGCGCCATAGTACTTGCCGATGCGCCCGAATACCGACTCTTCACCGACCTTCACGTAATGATCGAAGAACAGCTTCATCTCGCGGTGGAAGAACACGGCCGAGCTCATGGGATCCGATATCGCCAGCCGTGCCCGCTTATACGCATCCCCAAGGCCTTCTAAGAACTCCTCGGCCGCGTCGGGATCGCGTGTGCGGTATGCCGCCAGTCGCAGCTTCACCGGGTTCGTAATGTCGTTCGGGTTGATGGTGAACCAGATGGCCGGCACGCCATATCCGACGATGAGCGACTGGATTTTCCGCCGCATATTGAGACGGACCTCTCGACATGGGCTGCCGGTGGCCGTAAAGCGAGAGGCTCCTGAGAAGCTCCTTCACGTCACCATCGGTCGTCTTACCCGAGCTCTCCAACTCGACCCTCGCCGCCGCTAGCCTTTCTGTGGTCATCGAACGCACGATGCGCTCTACCTTGCGGAAGTTCTTCCTCCCACACTCAACATGCTGACCCGGCGGTTCCTCGACCGCACCCCATGTTGAAGACGAGAAATGCGAAGATGTGGTGCAGTGCAAATCGACCACCATGGCGCCGGAGCACGATCTCGGCCCACGCCTGAAGGTTCAAGCTTCGAGACGATACGGGTCTCCGCGGCCGCCTCTGCCTCGACAGCCCTGCCTCGCAAGTTGGCCGTGACCTTCCCGCGTCGACCATGGTCTCTTCAACCAGCCTTGGTCCCCAACGCCAAATGGGAACAGGGTCGGGAACGTCCTGGCAAAGAAGGACGCCTCAAAGGAATCGGTAAACTCACCCCCCCGCGAAACCCGGATGTATGGCTCACAACCACCGTCGCCACGCCCCCGAACCCCCCCGGCTAGGGACCCGACCCACGCTCTCGGGCCCGCACGGCCGTCGTCGGCACCTTCACCAACAGCGTCACAGGCAAACTGCAGCTTCTCCACGTCCGCGACGTCTGGCGGTCCGTCGAGCGCGAACATGCCAGAAGACGTCACCTCGTTGATCGCTGGAACGTTCTGGTCGGGGCAGGCGTCACTTCCATCGCGAACCGCGCCTTCTCCGTTGGGCCCGTGACCTTCACCCTGGCCGCCGGCTTCTTGTCCTTGGTTGAGCAGGGCGAAGAGCTCCTCGATCTCCACCGGCCCTCCTCGTCCACGGCGCGTTCCGTGGGCGGCACAACGTGCGCCGTCCGCGCTTTCTCCCACCCAGACGGCTCGTTCCGCTCCATACGATCGCACACCGACGACGGTACCCCGTATCGAGTCTCCCAGCTCTCCATCTCCGCCGCGTCGATCTCGATCTCGGCGTAGTGGGGTTGTTCCGCTTCAGCCAGACAAGGCCCTCTCGACCACCCGCCGCCTCACCGACAAGAGACTCGACAGGTCGCTCGGTGCCGGCTTCTCCGCGCCCTGCCACGAGATGTGGATCTCGTCCAGTGCTTGCAAAGGGTGCGGGAGCACTTTGTGGCCAGCTCCTGCACATTGTTCGGAAACACCGTGATGTGGCCCTGACATGCCTCGGATACTTCACGCTCTGCCTCTGCCCGCCCGGAATGCTATATCTCGTGACAAACCCGTAACATGAGTTCAGCGAGATGAGCTTCTCTTCGACCGGCGTCAGTCCCTTGAGCTCATCGGGGAACATGTGCTCGCAGCCAAGGCGACTGTGAAGGTGGATCGCCGGCGACAGGCTCCTGCGCGCCAGGCATCGGCCACACTCGGCGCACACCGACACGGACTCGCCCTCAGGAAAGCAACTCCGGCATGAAAATGGTGAGCGGCCGCCCTTTGGTACGCAACTTGACAGCCAATGATCCCATGTAATCTCCTCAACTCTCCTCTCGTACACTTGCGGTAGCACACCATGCAGGTCCGTATCGGCAACGTGCTCGCATCGTGGAACGCCTGATAGAAGTCTCGCACCGTCGACACCTTCCTCTCGAGCGGTATTGGCGTGCACCACGTCTGATCGTTAGACAATCTCTCCTTCAAGGCAAAGTCTTCCTCCAAAAAGCGCAGCACACTCGCCAGGTCTTCGGCCTGCAGCTCCCGTCTCCTATGCCTTCCGATTCCACTTCGGACCTGTTTTATCGGGCGCCCATCCCGGCTAGGAAGACGGGCTCTCTTCCGCCTCCGGGACTGCCTCTGTCCGCGCAGCGAGCCGTCCGCTGCCTCTGCTGCGCCATCGTCCATGTCACGACCCTGGGCGCCAGCGTAGAGCCGCCAGCGCAGCACCTCACCAGTGTCACGTGCCCAAGCAGCATCACGTGCCCACGCGCGACCTCGTGTCTATATAAGGGCCCGCTCGGTCGTGTAGTCTAGTCTTCCTTTCTTGCTCCTTAGCTTTGAGTCTTTGTTCATAGTGCCAATACATCTTTATAGCCGTCAAGGCTCGTATGTGCCTGGCCGTAACACTACTCAAAGCTCAATCTTCGCGTGCCCCGCGAAACAAATATAGGCAACCTTCGCGTGCCCCGCGATAAACAAATAGGCACCCACAACCTGGTCCTTCGCGCTGGACTGAAAACTCGTGCACTCCGACCGACCGTTGACCCGTTGCACTAAGGACTGTGCCCCGACTCAACACCGACCGACCCTCCTGTGTGTGATCAGGAGCCCGACCGATTCGCTTCGTTAAGGACTGCGTTGCGAATCACTTCCGACCCCTCTGTATGTGATCAGAGGGTTGACTGTCCGTGAGGACACTCGACCAAGCCCTCCGAAGGTACTGGAGGCACCTGTCGACTCGTCTGCGTGTGCAGCTCGGCTCGGCCTTGACCCGCGCACGCACTAAGGACTGTGCAGCGCATCGACCCGTTCCTCTTCCTAAAGACTGGAAAGGAACAACCTCCGCCTGTCGACTTGACCCTCCTGTGTGTGATCAGGAGGTTTGGCCCACCGATTCGCTTCGTGTTGGATTCGACCCCGACTCGCCCTTGACTAGGTGATGCCGAAGAAACTCGACTACGGACCCCGACAAGGAAGTCAGTCCGTACGGCATCGCAAGTGCCTGATCAAGGCCCTCGACCCAAGACCAAGACCAAGACTCGACCCCGATTCTCCAGCTGCAAGAGGAGACGTCGGCCTCAATCGAAGACCCGCCAACGATGGCCCAAGTGACGGCTCAGCTGGCCGCCCGTCAACCTGCAATACTGGATCGAATGTGCTGCAGCGGAGGAGGGCTGCGAGGAACGAGACGATGACGACACAGCAGAGAAAGCCGTGAAACCAAGCCGCCGCCACGACTGACTACCTTGATACGCATATCAAGGCCTTAGACGGGGGCAGTGTCACGACCCTGGGCGCCAGCGTAGAGCCGCCAGCGCAGCACCTCACCAGTGTCACGTGCCCAAGCAGCATCACGTGCCCACGCGCGACCTCGTGTCTATATAAGGCCCGCTCGGTCGTGTAGTCTAGTCTTCCTTTCTTGCTCCTTAGCTTTGAGTCTTTGTTCATAGTGCCAATACATCTTTATAGCCGTCAAGGCTCGTATGTGCCTGGCCGTAACAGTCCACACCCACCTGTGCCCTTGGCCGCCGAACCGGTCCCCGACGGAGCTTGGGCAAACCCCATGCAATCGATGCTGCAAATTGCGCCGTTCGTCTTAGGTCTTGGAAAGTCGTATCCTTGGGCTGGATAGGTCGGAGCGTCGGTCCCTTTTCGAACGAACACCCGGGACACCGCCGGTCGCCGCCTTATCTCCCTGCCCGTCACCTTCAGGACCCCTCCTGGGGCAAAACGGCCGATGAAGGGGCGGACTGTTAGAGCCCACTGCCCCTGGTCTCCACGTTCTGTAGGCAACACGAACCTCGGAAGCGGACTCGGTGACTGACGTTGCGCGGAATTTCCGCTGCTGACCAAATTACGGACTTCCGTGCTCTGCTTGACCGCAAACCGCCTCGCGGCGGTCTTCTCGGCAGTGACTTTGCGATCGCCTCTGCATGCTTTCTCCATGCGGTTTCTTCGACCGCAGACTGCTTAGGCTGAATCAGCCGGAACGTTAATGCTTCATTCGCCACTGATCTGTATCTCCCGAACCGCCCCAACCTTGTCTCCCGTGCTCCGTGCCCTTCTCGGGAGTTGCCCTGTATCATCTCCGCACCCCGAAACAGGCACTCCCCGTTCCTACCCTCTTCTCCATCCTCGACTGACAACGAACAGGCTCCACGGTGAGCGGCCGCCTCGCCTAGCTTCCTGCAGGACTGTCCGCCATGCTACTGCCTCCTCGACGTCGACTAGCGTGGATTGGCAACAGGCTAGAAAGTTTTGGCTCCGGAGCACTTCCACTTGGATAATCTCGCTTCTTGGCGTACACTATTTCTTTCCGAGTGGGAAGCTTCCTAACGATCACTACTCATGGCCGTGGCGTTTCTTCCCTATAATGCTTGCCTATGGTACCGAAGCGATGCAATACTACTACCCTTTGTAATCCCCATTTACCCTCCCTATGTGCGTCCACCGTCCCGGCCCTCGGCTGGTCTCCACGTGCGACCTGCTACCCCAGCTTTGCCAAAGGCGGCCCTTCCATCGCCGTGCTCTCTTTGCACTCCAGCGAATCCTGGCTACTGCCGACCTCCGGCACATGGGGTGGCCGCCCCAACCGCCCGCCGCACACTTCCAACCATACTCTCCGGCCCTTCCAACGCCGTCCCACCCACCTTGCGCATCAGTTGCTCCATCAATATCTGCCACTCCACCTCGTCGAGCAACAGCCAAAAGGCTGCCGGCGATAACATGTCCACGGTGTCCTCGTGCAACCGGACTACCCGGCTAGGTTTGCTCCCTCGCCACCACCAACGTCGCATCAACGGCCTTCATGCTAAAGCGACAGCCAGGATCCCCCTGCCTGTCCTCTTGTAGTCGCTAGCCACCGGAGTCTCGACTTGCAAACCCTCTTGGAGAGTTCTCGTGACCAACTCGCATCCTCCTCCTCAGGTCGTCCCCATATCCGACTTCACCGTGTCCCAATAGTGGACTCGACACGGTCGGCACCCGCCTCGCTCAGCCGCACGCAATGCCCATCCAACTACCGACGACCGTCAAAAAGGGACCCCTGCAATACTACCATAACCTCTTTCTTTCCTTCACTCTCATTCGTTATTGTCGCCTTTGCTATCTACTCCATGCAACGATGACACCGAAGGGTACTGCTGGACTTTCTTTCTCCGCAGACTTACCCACACTAACCTTACTGTTCGCCGACCTCCAACTTCTCGCGACATAGCCATCACCCCTACTCAACTTCCAACCCCCGGCTCCCTACTTCACTCACGACCATAGAACCAGATGGTCGAGA